ACCAAAATAATGCATATTTTAAAGGTTTTTTCATTAAATAGAAAAACACTTCAATTGGCCCCAGCACTCTCAATAGGAAGTCTAAAGACTTACTTTAAACGTAATTTTAAAGCTTGTAATTGCCTTCAAATGTATGTGAAGTTTCATTAGTATCCCGTAAGTATTTAACAAGTTATGATGATATTCAGTTCTTCACGAGCACGGTCTTAATGCACGCGGTGTTATTTGGCCACTGGATTGGATATATGAACTGAATTTTATGTCAATAATTAGTTGTTTAGATCAGTTGTATATATCAGTAAAATTTAGCTCAATACATTGGATAATTAATGAGATAATACTATGAAAGTCATTAGGAAGTGAATGACCGTGGTAAGCCGACCAAGTTTAGGTGGTTACGAAAAAGCGAAAACGCAGAACATTATGGTACCTTCTAAAATATGTAGGATAGTGTTATAAATTTAGTACAGACATGTACAAAAGTTTAAAAAAAAACTACATGATTATTCAAGATTTTTTATTGAAAGGTAAAATAATCATTTCAATTGAACTTTTACTCCCTTACTTATAAAAACTTGTGTTGCTTAGCAACCGATTAAACATCACCCGTCCTTGTCATTTCTATTTCAAAATTCAGTTCAAAAATCATCTTAAAGGTTACAAAAGTAACCTGGCAAGACTCGAGTGCGATAAGCAAACAATGTATTACCCCTTTCACCCCACTCCTCCTGCGTTCTACCGAACGGCATGCTCTAGCGGTGATTTTTGATAATTTTGTGGAACTGGAAGATAATGTTTTCTTTTATATTATTATTATATAGGTATTAAACAGTGTGCGCGTCTGTACCAAAATTGTAAGGTGTATTATACTAAACATTTTAAAAGATAGTACAATGTTCTACGTTTTCGCTTTTTCGTAACCACCTAAACTTGGTCGGCTTACCACGGTCATTCACTTCCTAATGACTTTCATAGTATTATCTCATTAATTATCCTATGTATTGAGCTGAAATTTTACTGATATACAACTGATCTAAACAACTAATTATTGACATAACATTCAGTTCATATATCCAATCCAGTGGCCAAATAACACCGCGTGCATTAAGACCGTGCTCGTGAAGAACTGAATATCATCATAACTTGTTAAATACTTACGGGATACTAATGAAACTTCACATACATTTGAAGGCAGTTACAAGCTTTAAAATTACGTTTAAAGTAAGTCTTTAGACTTCTTATTGAGAGTGCTGGGGCCAATTGAAGTGTTTTTCTATTTAATGAAAAAACCTTTAAAATACGCACTATTTTGGTTTTGTTATTGCACAACAAATTTAAACTAAGTCCTCGAAAGTCGTGTACAAAATATGATAAGAATCCGCTTAACCATTTCAAGGATCTAGCAAAACCAAAAACGTTACCGCAGCAAAATCTCGAATAACTTCGCAACCGAAGAAAGAACAAATACAAAATAAGGCACAACATTTACTTTATCTAGACAACTAATTTTATAGCTAATATTAATTAAAATATTCCCATTAGAAAGAAAAGGGTCTGGCTGTGGTAACGTTACGCCAGCAAGAAATGTTTTTGTGATATAATTAAAAAACTATAAGCGCAACAAATTTAAAAATGTGCGCAACAATTACAGAAGCCGCACAACTAATTATCTATAAGATTCAAATGACCATTGTCGACAACATCTGGCCTGGGTAACGGACACGAATTTATTTATTTTTGACCTAGGAAACTACACAATATTATATTCTAAAAGTCATTGTAGCTCGGAGGTTTAAGGCGCCCGATTCTCATGCGTGATAGTTGATGTAGCTTTTTCTAAGTTATATGTACTTTCTATGATTATTTAGACACCACTGACTTCACATACGGTGAAGGAAAACATCGTGAGGAAACCTGGACTTATAATTTCTTATTACTTACAAAGTTTGAAATCGCTTATCACCCTTGAGCGAGCGGGGTGATTAATGCTCAAACCTTCTCCGTGTGAGAAGAGGCCTTTGCTCAGCAGTGGACACTTATAGCCTGATGATGTGTGATGATGATGATATTGTCACGGCCCAAGATTTTCATAAAGTCGAGATGAAATCGTTAGTTTTAGACTAGCGATCAGCCCCAATGTAGTATTTCCCTATTTAATGCTGCAATAGCGACCTTTTTTTTTTTTTTTTTTTTTTGTCAGGGGAAAATCATCCAATGACTTCTCCCGCCCAGGGTAAGGCGAGAGAGAGTGTCAGACTCTTACTGACTAAAAACCCCCCCGTTCCTTCTCCTGCTCTGGGCCGAGGTCGCGGTGCCTCATGCAATAGCGACCTGCCCTGGCTTCGCACGGGTGTAATGCTAGTACTAAATTTCTCCACTATTTTAGGCTGATTTTTCAATGGTTAGATAAATGTTATCCGGGGAATAATTATGATGCTGTCGCGTCAGAATGTTTGTGTGAGACAGTGACAGCAATAATTACATTCCTCAGATAACATTTATCTGACTATTGAAAAATCAGCGCCTTATGGATATTATTACACATATAAACCTTCCTCTTCAATCACTCTATCTATAAAAACTAGCTACTCCCGCGCGGTTTCACTCGCTGCTCGGCTCTATCGTGATGTTTTATAGCCTATAGCACTCAGAAACATTGTAGCTATCTATCAGTGAAAGAATTTTGGCAATCCGACCAGCTGTTCGAAAGATTACCCCCTACATACAAGCTTACAAATTTTACCTCTTTCTAATATTAGTATAGACAAAACCCCATCAAAATCCGTTGCGTAGTTTTAAAGATTTAAGCGTACATAACATAGGGATATAGGGACAGAGAAAGCGACTTTGTTTTCTTCTTCACGTGTTACATCCATAGAAACTTGTCCAGACTTAAATTTTACAATAGGGATCATAGGGTGGGTTAATTTTTGTGATAGGTCGGTAAACGAGCGAACGGATTACCTGATGGTAAGCAATCAGTGTCGCTCATGGACACCCGCAACGGCGGAGGAGTTACGAGTGCGTTGTAGACCTTTTGGGAAATAGGAATTTGGAGATTTTGGGAAAGGGAACGGATTGGGGTAGGGGAAGGATTGGGCCTCCGGTAAATGTAATTTGATTGTCTTAACTGAGGATACGATTCGCTGGTATAGCAGCGGTAATACCTCTCTTTGAGGACTGGCTAGAGATGCCACGGTGTTTTCAATTATCGCCAGACACACACGATCTCCGGCCATCGTAAACGCGGGTCAGCGTACTTTAGAATCGATATAAACTTGAAACAGAGCTATAGGCAGAGTTTCACACATGTATAGTAAAAAAAAACCGTTGGCTTGGCAGGTTGTAGCGCAACGTACCGCGGGTTCGATCCCTGCACTGTACAACTCTCGTGTGATCCATAAATTGTTCTTTCTGGTCTGGGTATCACATGTATGTGAAATTGTATGTTTGTAAACGCACTCACGACACACACAAAACTCATTTTTCACCAGTTATGTATTAAGTTTAGTGTAATATAATGGTGTGGTTGTATCAAGCCGGGTTTCTGTGAGGCGGTGGTACTAGTCACTGAAAGAGCCGGCCTGTTCGTGCCAAAGTATCTCTCCCCTACACTTAGATATTAAATAGAAGGGGTAATAATTATTAAGAAACATCGTCAGCCTATAAGTGTCCACTGCTGACCAAAGGCCTCTTCTCACACGGAGAAGGTTTGAGCACACCACTTGCTCAAGGTGGATTGCCGATTTCAAACTTTAAGATGTTAGAAGTTTACCGCTTGTCAGTGGTGTCTAAATAATCATAGAAAGTACAAAAACTCGGAAAAATTCTCGTCCATGAGATATGGGCGTCTTAACCTCCGGCCCATTGCAATGTTTTTTTTTTATATATTAGACCGGCAAACGAGATTTAGACGGATTAACTGAAGGCAAGCAATCAGCGCCGCCCATGGACACTCGCAACGGAGGAGTTACGAGTGCATTGCCGACCTTTTGGGGACTAGGGATTAAGTGATTGGGGAGGGGTTGGGGGAAGGGAAGGATTGGGCCTCCGGCAACCTCAATCACACGGCGAAACACAACGCTGTGGTTGTTTCACGTCAGTTTTCTGTGAGGCCGTGGTATCACTCCGGTCGAGCCGACCCATTCGTGCCGAAGCATGGCTCTCCTACAGTTATGTATTGAGTTTAGTGTAATACAACGCTGTGGTTTTATCACACAGGTTTTCTGTGAGGCCGTGGTACTAATCACTGAAAGAGCCGACCCGCTCGTGCCAAAGTATCTCTCTCCTACACTTATATATTAAATAGAAGTAGTAATATTTATTAAAGAAAAAATGTCAGCTTATAAGTGCTTACTGCTGAGCAAAGGCCTCTTCTCACACGGAGAAATCACTAGGCTAGCTCTAGGCGGCTTGTGCATATAACATTAAGGTAAAATTATAAGTTTCTTTACGATGTTTTCCTACACCGATTGTTAGCGGTGTCTAAAGTAAATATAACTTGGAAAGTTCATTGGTATTTGGTTCGCTCCCCCATGCATGAGAAGCGATATTGTCTCGTTTGATGTGTTGTGACAGGAAGAGCTGTCGTCCATGACAGTCCGGTTCCCTGATCACCCAATTAATTATTGAAATTGTGACGACTTTTTTTCAATTTTCTCAATAAACTCACTTTTTACAAGTTATAGAGTTTAGTGTAATACGTGTGGTTGTTTCAAGCCGGTTTTCTGTGAGGCCGTGGTACGAATCACTGAAAGATTATAGCAATAGACTCATCCCTTAAGGCGGATTAGCGATTTGAACTTCAAGATATTAGAAGTTTACCGTATGTCAGTGGGGTCTAAATAATCATAGAAAGTATATATATAATAGGGAAAAAGTCACATTGGTACTTGCCAGGTTTAACGCCCTCGCGTTTGTGAATCGGGTGACTTAACGTGCCCGACTACGAAGTAAATAACTGTTACTTTTATATATGTATAAATAATCTTTTGTTACAGAAGCAATGATTGTCTCCGAATAAGTTTAGTCGTAAGAAAATTGAACAGAGTATTCGAAAAGAAACAACGCGCGGATATAAGACTTCAAGATGTTCCAAAAACCAGCCTTCGGATCCACTACGGCCAATTTTGGTAAGTCATTTTTAATATACTTTTTACACGCCTTCGCTCCCGTCCTTAGGCTTAAAAAATCTTAAACTACCTACCCCACCTTACACCACACTATACTACACTATAATACACCACACTATACTACACTATAATACACCACACTATACTACACTATAATACACCACACTATACTACACTATAATACACTATACTATACTACACTACACTACACTATACTACACTATGTTCTTCTCCTGGTTCTATACTACATTCCCACCGATTCTCAACGAAAACGGTTCAACCGTTCTTGAGTTATAAATAGTGTAACGAATACGACTTTCTTTTTTGTATATGGATATAGGGACTTAAATAAGTTTTTTTGAGCTTTATTTCTAGGTGTAAGCACAACGATGGATGGGGATGGTTTTTATTCAGTAAGAGTCTCATACCCCCTCTTCCACAGCTAGGGTCAAAGACAGTTATTTATTTGATGATTTTCTTAATTTGGAAAAAGTTTGGAATGTCGTAAAACAAACCACAAAGCGAGCAGCGCTCCCAGGGCGGGAGAAGTAGTGTTTTTTTTTATGTGATAGGTCGGCAAACGAGCAGACGGATTACCTGATGGTAAGCAATCAGCGCCGCCCATGGGCACTCGCAACGGAGGATTCACAAGAGCGTTGCCGACCTTTTAGAAATTAGGGATTTGGATTTTGGATTGGGAGAGGGGAAAGATTGGGCCTCCGGTAACCTCACTCACACAGCGAAAAGCAACGCTGTTGTTTCACGCCGGTTTTCTGTGAGGCCGTGGTATCACTCCGGTCGAGCCGACCCATTCGTGCCGAAGCATGGCTCTCCCGCACTTTAAATGTGTAATGATTTCCCCGCTTAAAAAAACGAATAGGAAAACTTTCGAAGCGTTCAGAATGACAAGGGGACCTATTAAAAGAGACGGACCTCTGAGTTTGTTTCGGCATTTCTTCTCAGTGTAGGCAGATAGGAAATGTCGGCTTCATTGTACATATAATTTTTAAGTTTTTTTTTTACTTGCTATAAACAAGTGCTTGACTGCGATCCCACCTGATGGTAAGCAGTGATGCAATCGTTGATGGTAAGGCGCACTAGTTTATTAAGAGCCTATTCACTCTAGCCTTGAAGACACCTAAATTATGTTCGGACGGAAAGACTGCAGCCGGCAAACTGTTCCAATCCCTCGATGTACGCGGTATTTGAAATGACGAGGCAAAACGCTTAGTCAGGACCGCAGGTGTCTCAACAACGTATTTGCCGAAGTGCTGTTTCATGGCAATAAATCCATCCCGAGCGTACGGCGCGTAGCGTTCCGCGCGCGCCTCAAAGAGCCAATAGACCACCACAGACGGGGCCCTATAGGGCTGATGTTCAGCCGGGGTTGCGTTGTAAGCGCAATGAGGCACCGCGATCTCGGCCCAGAGCGGGAGAAGGAACGGGGGGTTTTAGTCAGTAAGAGTCTGACACTCCTTCCCACCCGGCCCGGGGCGGGAGAAGTCATTGGGTGATTTTCCCCTGACAAAAAAAATGGCAATAAATTAATTGTTTCATTGAAAAAAAAAACGATTATCTGCAATGTTTTGTCATATTTTTCCTCGACGCTTATCGAACTTGTAGGTATACCGTAGCTTTCATTCCACGCCATTGCGTCACAATTTATTTGTAAATAAATACTAATGAGTCATACTTTAAAGTATTTCCTATCAAATATTTGTATGTCTGAGTCAATATAATAGTGTTACGTGCCTGACGTCACGTTCCTGACTATGCGGGCTTGGGTTACGGGATTGGATGAAATGAAACACTAATACCGGTTTTCAGACTTTCTATTGCACTTAAGTTACAGCGTCCACGGAGTTAAGTTATCGGCGTTCCTCTCCAGCAGAGTCCGGCCGACTGACACAACTTTGCCGTTCACGCTGACTTAACTCACTTAACTGACTGCACTTCACTATTTCACTGCACTTCACTATTTCACTCACTTTTCTTCTTTCTCACTTCTTCCTTTTCTTCCGAATCGCTTTAGACTTAGAACTCAACTGCCAGCGGTGAGCCGCAGTTCCGCTTATATACCCCTGGTCAGGTTCTGGAACATTCAATTTCGTTATTCTTTTTGATCGTCATGCCTCCAGAACCTTCCAATAATTTCGTTATTCATTTTTATTTATTCTCCTTCTCGCTCTTTAATTTTTCATTTCTTTCACACAAATAATTCCAGAAAGTTCGACAAAACTTCTATAAACTAAAAAACTTCATGTTTACGGCGGGACTCGAACTCGGGGTCTCTGTGGTGTAATCCACACGCCTTCCCGATTACACCAACTCGTGTTGACAATTCACGACGAAATTTACAATCTCTAGGCAACGTTTGACAACCATCCATTGACGTCATGATGTCAAAGAGTTTGAACCACTTTTCCGTCACACTGCCCCCCTCTTAGATTCGCTCGTCCCGAGCATCGTTGCTGCCGTAATACCTCGCCAACCTGTCTATATGGACAACTTTCAAAGGGCTCCTTAAAGTCTTCCGAATTCTGTAAGTAATGTCATTGATCTTCGTGACTATCTCATAAGGACCTTCCCAACTCGGTTGCAGCTTCGGAGATTTTCCCTTCCTTCTGACTGGATTATGAAGCCAGACCAATGACCCCTCTTCAAACCCAACAGAATTGGCTCGTCGATCATAGCGCGTCTTTGCGCGATCACTAGCTTGAAGACCGGCCTCCCTGATCTGCTCATAAATGTCCAACATTTTTGCCCTTAACTCGTTTATGTAATCGCTAAACTCGGTGCGAGTGTCGCCAGGTGGACAGCCCGATACAAGATCTGCCGGTAATCTCAATTCCCTTCCAAAATTTGCAAATGCAGGCGTCTTTGCGGTACTTCCATGTACAGCAGTCCGATAGGCAAGCAAGAAGAGAGGTATGTAAGTGTCCCAATCTCTCTGATGGCTGTCAACCACCTTTGCTAAGTGTCGCTCCAATGTTTGGTTGAAGCGTTCGACCATTCCATCTGACTGTGGATGATAAGGGGTCGTTCGAGTCTTATGGATTCCCAAAAGTTTACAAGTTTCCTGAAAAACTTGGGATTCAAAATTCCGTCCTTGATCACTGTGCATCTCCAAGGGCACTCCGAATCGGGTGAATACCTCGTTTACCAACTTCGTGGCTACAGTTACTGCCTCTTGATTCGGTATGGCAAAGCCCTCCGGCCATTTTGTAAAATAATCCATAACCACTAAAACGTAGCGATTGCCCGAATCAGTGATTGGAAATGGTCCAGCGATGTCTAAGGCTATTCTCTCCCAAGGCATACCAACATTGTAGATTTTCATCGCCCCCCTGCTTCTTGTTTGTGGACCCTTGACAGCTGCACAACTAGTGCATTTCCGGCACCAATCTTCGACGTCATATTTGCAATGCAACCAATAAAACCTCTCCTTGATCTTCACCAAAGTCCTCCTAATTCCCAAATGTCCTCCAGAAGATCCATCATGGAACGCTTTTAATACATCCCTTATTTTTGAACGAGGCACCACCAATTGCAAATGCTCGTCCTTGCCGTTTGTTGATTCCCATTTCCTGCACAGAAGTCCGTTATGCAGCGTAAGGCTTTTCCACTGTGCCCATAAACCTTTCGTTACCGCGCTATATTGGGCGACATCACTCCAACTTGGCTTGTTACCACTTCGTAGCCACTCCAGTACTGGTTTAATATCTGCATCTCTTTCCTGTTCTAATTTCATCGCATCATCTCCCCATGCCTCGTCAACAGTATCAGTCCTTATCACCTTAAGAAAAGCAGTTTCCTTCTTGGCACAATGCTTGCAATCTTCCACGCATGGGCGTCTCGATAATGCATCTGCGTTGCCATGAATTTTTCCGCCGCGATGTTCGATTTCAAAGTCAAATTCCTGAAGTTGTTCCAACCATCTGGCTACTTGGCCTTCGGGATCCTTAAACTGAAGCAGCCATTTCAAAGCAGCGTGATCAGTTCTGATCAAAAATTTCCGTCCCAGTAAATACTTCTTGAAATGGTGCAGAGTTTTGACTACGGCCAGCAATTCCCTCCTGGTCACGCAATAATTCCTCTCCGGCTTAGATAGTGACTTGCTGAAGTAAGCAATAACCTTCTCCTGCTCACCATCGCGTTGTGAAAGGACACCTCCTATTCCAATATTGCTGGCATCCGTATCAACTACGAATATTCCTTTCGCGCTGGGGTATCCGAGAATTGGTGTGTTACAAAGCCGTTCTTTTAGTTTTCGAAAGGCTTGCTCACAATCCTCGTCCCAGATAAAGGCACGTTTCTCCTCTGTCAATCGATGCAAAGGCTTGGCAATGTCCGAGAATCCTTTCACAAACCGCCGATAATACGAGCACAATCCAAGAAATGCCCGAACTTGCGTTTTGTCTTTAGGTGTTGGCCATTCCTTAACAGCGACAGTCTTGGCTGGATCAGTCTCAATTCCTCTCTCAGAAATAACATGTCCTAGATAATTCACTTCGCGCTTGAAGAAAGAGCATTTCTTTGGACTCAACTTTAAATTTGCTCCACGCAGCTTGTCGAGTACCTTTTCCAATTTTCTTAGATGATCGTCAAAATCCCGTCCAACAATGATGATGTCATCGAGGTAAACTAGGCAGGTTTCGCCCAGCAGTCCCGCCAGCACCTGTTCCATCAAACGCTCAAAGGTTGCCGGTGCATTGCATAATCCAAATGGCATCACCTTAAATTGCCAGAGTCCCTTCCCAGTTGAGAATGCGGTCTTTTCCTTGTCCTTGGGATCCAAATCCACCTGCCAATAGCCACTTTTCAGATCGATCGTTGAAAACCATTTCATGCCACTCAGTGTGTCAAGTGTGTCATCGATTCTTGGTAACGGGTAGCTATCCTTCTTGGTTACATCATTCAATCGTCGATAGTCTACGCAAAACCTCGTTGAACCATCTTTCTTCTTGACAAGCACGACAGGTGAACACCAAGGGCTAGAAGAGGGCTCTATCACGTCATTTTTCCTCATATCGTCAATCATTTGTTCAACCTCTTTCTCACGAGCGAATGGTATACGTCTGGGCCTTTGACGAATTGGCATTGTATCACCTGTGTTTATTTTATGCTTCACCAAACCAGTTCGGCCAATATCACCATCGCTTCTTGAAAACACATCAGAGAATCGAAGAAGTAAATTTCTAGCTTTCATAGTCTCCACTTTTGTCAGACTTTTGTTTTCGTCTAAGATTTTCGTTACAAAGTCTATTCCCGTACTGTCCTTCTTCACAAGATTTTCCGAGCATTTTCTTATCCAGGCCACTTCTTCCAATACGCCCACAGGCTCTCCTTCTTCAATCGTAATTTTTGAATCACTGAAGTTGAATACCGGAATGCGGTTGACATCAGATGACCCCACGACAGTTCTTGCCGGTAGCCATGAGTTTACGTGTTCCGAATTATCAATCACAGCGCACCTTCGAGGTAAACTTCCTTCCCTCCTCCTAGGTAATGCAATTGGTACGAGAGTCTGTGATTTTGGTGCAAGAACAGTTCTTCTTAAACAGCAAACTTTTCCCAGGGTTCCACCCTTCATCGGAATTTCCTCAGTTCCACATAGTAATACTCCAGATTTTAAGTCGATGTTACACTGGTGCCCTTGCAGGAAGTCGAGTCCCAGGATGCAGTCATCCAGAATTTCGGCCACAATAACCTCATGTCGATAAACACGTTCCCCAATTTTGATTGTTACATGCAGTTTTCCACTTATCGGTATGCACTGGCCGGTAGCTGATTTCATTCGTAGGCCAACAATTGGTTTAAGGTGTTTCCTGATGTTTTGCCCAAACAGCCGAACATTTATCACCGTCCTTGAAGCTCCAGTATCTAATGTTAGCTGACTGTTTTTCCCATTTACTTGACCGTCTATCACCAGTGTATTTCCATCGTTGGTTTGCTTGATGTAGATTGTTGGGGTTGTTCCACTTCCAGCCAGCGCCCACCCCGCAGCCTTGGCTGGATTTAAGTTTCCCTGCTGGTCAGAAGTTGAGACCGCCGCGTCCTGGCGGTTCATCTTCTTCGGGCAGTCGCTCCGTATGTGCCCACGCTCTCCGCATCCATAGCACACGAAGTTCCGACGGCGTGGAGGTACCTGCTCCGTTGTCGTCATTTCCCGCAGACCTAAGGTACGGGGGTTGCCACGCACGGCTTCCACTTCCAATGCATGGGCCAGAGCTTCTTTCATGTTCTTGTGATGGCCCAGATGAACAGCAGCTCGTACTTCGGGGTCCCGAATACCGTCAATGAATGCTTGGAGAAGCGTGCCTTCAATCATTGACGGAGTCGACCGGAAAGCTCGACGCACAAGTTTCTCGATTTCCACGGACCATTGCTGTAGGCTCTCATTAGCACGCTGAGTACGCTCTTTTAATTGCGCTCTGTACACGTGCTCGAGGTGGCTGTCTCCAAAACGTGCCTCCAGTGCGTCGAGGAGGGCACTAAAGCTGAGATCCCCACTTGCGCCGATAGCTTCCAGCACTGAGAGCGCTTGATCACGGAGGGCCAGGGTGAGGGCTGACTGTGCTTCCTTCTGAGTCCAACCATAAGCCTCCATAAGTGTCTCGAACTGTAGCTTGAACGCGGTCCAGGATGTTGTTCCGTCGTAATGGGGAATCTTGAGCCCTTTCGTTGCGCTTGAGGCCGCATTTGGGGCGTCAAAAACGGCTGCAAGACGGCTTCGGCTCTTCAAAGGGCTTGGGCTTGTCATTTCCTGCTTGATTTTGGAGATCTCTTCTTCCACTCTCTCCTCTATGGCCATGACGCGATGTTCCAACTTGCCTAACCCTTCCTCCACTTCCTGTACCCGTTCGACAGCCTTTTGCAGTCCCTTCGTGAAATCCTTATGCATCTCTTTCAGCTCCCGTAGCTGCTCCGCCTGACAGTGTGCTTGCTCCCGTAGCTGTTCTGCCTGACAGCGTGCTTGCTCCTCTTGGCGGCGCGCTTGCTCTTCTTGGCGGCGCGCTTGCTCTTCTTGGCGGCGCGCTTGCTCTTCTTTCAGCTCCCGCAGCTGTTCTGCCTGACAGCGCGCTTGCTCTTCTTGGCGGCGCGCTTGCTCTTCTTGGCGGCGCGCTTGCTCTTCTTGGCGGCGCGCTTGCTCTGCCATCATTTGCTGCAGCTGTAGCAGAAGATCCACCTGCACAGGCTTGGCTTCTGCATCGCTGGTTTGAGCTGCAGCACCCTCTTCCCTCACACGCTGCGCTTCTGACATTGAACCGATACTCACTCCTCTTACGTCCTGCGGCACTAGCGGCATTTTTCTCCAATCCCACTTCTGACACCAAATGTTACGTGCCTGACGTCACGTTCCTGACTATGCGGGCTTGGGTTACGGGATTGGATGAAATGAAACACTAATACCGGTTTTCAGACTTTCTATTGCACTTAAGTTACAGCGTCCACGGAGTTAAGTTATCGGCGTTCCTCTCCAGCAGAGTCCGGCCGACTGACACAACTTTGCCGTTCACGCTGACTTAACTCACTTAACTGACTGCACTTCACTATTTCACTGCACTTCACTATTTCACTCACTTTTCTTCTTTCTCACTTCTTCCTTTTCTTCCGAATCGCTTTAGACTTAGAACTCAACTGCCAGCGGTGAGCCGCAGTTCCGCTTATATACCCCTGGTCAGGTTCTGGAACATTCAATTTCGTTATTCTTTTTGATCGTCATGCCTCCAGAACCTTCCAATAATTTCGTTATTCATTTTTATTTATTCTCCTTCTCGCTCTTTAATTTTTCATTTCTTTCACACAAATAATTCCAGAAAGTTCGACAAAACTTCTATAAACTAAAAAACTTCATGTTTACGGCGGGACTCGAACTCGGGGTCTCTGTGGTGTAATCCACACGCCTTCCCGATTACACCAACTCGTGTTGACAATTCACGACGAAATTTACAATCTCTAGGCAACGTTTGACAACCATCCATTGACGTCATGATGTCAAAGAGTTTGAACCACTTTTCCGTCACAATAGTTTCGGTACGTCATACATACGTACATATAATGAGACGCAATATAAATTAGGTTTTTATATCTCTGTTGGGTCATCGTCATCTTCCTGCCCTTGTCCCGTTTTATTTGGGGTCGGCGCAATATGTTTTTTTCTTCCATTCTGTCCTGTCACCCGTCACGCTATCGCTAACTCCTCTGTCTTCCATATCACTTCTCACACAATCCATCCATATTTTCTTTGGTCTTCCTCTACCTCTCCATCCATCCACATTTATACTCATGGATTTTTTGTAACATGCTTTACATCCCTCCTTTTCACATGGCCATACCAAGACAAACGGTTCCCTTTCAACTTTTCAGTCACTGGCGCCACTAAACTTCGTCTAATATACTCATTTCTCACTTTATCCATTCTCGTCACACCACACATCCATCTCAGCATTCTCATCTCTGCTACATGCAATCGCTTTTCATCCGTCTTTTTTAGAGCCCAACATTCTGACCCATACAGTTTTATATCTCTGTTGGGTAAGCACGCATAATCAAACCAACTAAATAATGTACTAAAGAATCTTTATGTGACACTGATTTAAAAAGAGTGACCATGTAGTTTCTTGTTCGTTCCTCTCCATCGGAATCTATACTTTGAAACGAGTAAATAGCTTCACTTACAGGACTGACCGACAGACTGACACTTTATTTGATGTTCAAAAGTGCCTGTATGGGTCTTATTGAAATAAATGAGTTTGACTGTTGACTATTCATCAGCCTATATGTGCTCACTGCTGAGCAAAGACATCTTCTCACACGGAAAAGGTTTGAGCATTAACCACGACGCTTGCTCAAGGCGAATTGGCGATTTTAAAACTTATAATTAGAAATTATAAGTCCAGATTTCCTCACAATGTTTACCTTCACCGTATGTCAGTGGTGTCTAAATAATCATAGAAAGTACATATAACTCGGAAAAAGTCGCATTGGTACTTGCCAGGTTTCCAACTCGCTTCTACGCCAAAGGTGGACATATTCTCCTATAAATAGGAGAAATGTAGCTTATAGTAAAATTTTATATTGTAGCTTATTTTAGTTACCGGAGGCCCAATCCCTTCCCCCTTCCCTATCCCTTCCCTTTCCTTAAATATTCACAACCCTTATCCACAAAAAGCCGGCAACGCACTCTTAACTCCTTTGGTGTTGCGAGTGTCCATGGGCGGCGTGATTGCTTACCATCAGGTAATCTGTCTGCTCTGTGGTGATACCGTCTGCTAGTTTTAACCTATAGATCTCATCAAGAACCATCAAACATAACTCACCAGTAGGCTTAGCAGCGAAAGCAGTTTGGTTATGGGTGTTCCCGAAAAGACCACCTCCAACAGTCGAGGTATTGCCAAAAAGTCAGCTCGTTTGCCGAGTTATCACAAAAAAAAATTTTTGGGAATCCGACCAGCGGTTCCAAAGATTACCCCCTACATAAAAACTTACAAATTTTACCTCTTTATAATATTATTGATATTGTTCTTTTTTTTCAGGCTCTTTTAACTCCGGTACATCGACTGCTTCCCCTTTCGGGGGTTTTAAACCGACGACAGGAACGAGCGCTTTTGGGGCACCTCCAGCTTTCGGAGCAGCAACGTCAACCCAACCCGCGACTGGTGGCGGTAAGTTAATATAATTTAGTTAATTTACTAGCTACTCTCACGTAGTTTCACCAGCTGCACGGCTTCTACAGATCGTAGCGTGATGTTTTATAACCTAAAGCTTTCCACAATAAATAGTCTAATAAACACAAAAATTTTTCAATTCGAACTAGTAGTTTCTGAGATTGGCGCGTTCAAACAAACAAACTGTTCAGCTTTATAATTTTAGTATAGATTATGAAATAGCGACCCGCCCCGGCTTCGCAAGGGCGCTATGCTGATACTAAATTTATCCACTATTTAATGGATGTCATTATACATATAAACTTTCCTCAGTAATAATTTTGTCGATTAAAAAAGCCATATAAAAAATGTTTCTTCTTATGTCTATCTTAACGGGATAAATCTAGAGTTAAGTATTTTCACAATACTCTCTCTCCATCTCTAGGTCTTTTCGGGTCTACTAATACGACCGGTGGTCTTTTCGGTGGGTCTACTGCGTCTACTTCGACATCGGGTTTTGGAGCGAGCACCTCGGGCTTCGGTTTCGGAGCCACCCAGCCGGCCAGCGGAGGCCTGTTTGGCAATACCTCGACTGTTGGAGGTGGTCTTTTCGGGAACACCCATAACCAAACTGCTTTCGCTGCTAAGCCTACTGGTGAGTTATGTTTGATGGTTCTTGATGAGACCTATAGGTTAAAACTAGCAGACGGTATCACCACAGAGCAGACAGATTACCTGATGGTAAGCAATCAGCACCGCCCATGAACACCCGCAACGGAGGAGTTACGAGTGCGTTGCCGACCTCTTAGGGATAAGGGTTTTGAGATTAAGGGATTGGTGATGAGGGATCGGTGGAGGGGAAGGATTGGGACTCGGTTACCTCACACGGCGAAACACAAAACTGGTTGTTTCACGCCGGTTTTCGGTGAGGCCGTGGTATCACTCCGGTCAAGCCGACCCATTCGTGCCGAACCATGGCTCTCCCACACTTAAAATTCGTAACAACGGAGGAGTTACGAATCCGTTGTAGACCCTTTGGACATTTGGGTTTTGGAGATTTAGAAGACTTAGGAGGGATTGGACAGCTCCGGTAAAAACAATGCTGTGGTTGTTTCACGCCAGTTTTCTGTGAGACAACTGGACTTATAATTCCTAATTATAACTTTGAAATGCCAATCCACCTTGAGAAAGCATGGTGTTTAATGCTTAAACCTTATCCGCGTGAGAAGACGCCTTTGCTCAGCAGTGGAGCCTTATAAGTTGATGTGGTAGATTTAGATTCGTACCAAAATATGGCGCTTTCACGAATAATGGTAGTACCACGAAATCAGGCGCCCCCCTTGCGCCCCTTCTAAGGCAGTAGAAGTCAATTTTATTATGCGATGGGAAGACGATATGAAACAAGTAGCTGGACCGGAATGGGTACGCATAGCTAAGCACAGAGACGAGTGGAAAGCCTTAGAGGAAGCCTTTGTCGAAAGACATGCTGGAAAAAAGAATAGAAACCGAGTGCCGAGTTACTAAATTTGTTTAATATGTAGATTCGACTGCACGGTTGGCGCGGTGGCTGGGCAACTGGGATTAAAGTATTTTGATTTTATAATTCTAAACTCTGTGAACCAGCAATAAATGCTTATTTTATATATTTTAACTATAAAAAGACCATTACCATATGCTTCTCCATCATAACTCTTTTTCTTACCAGGATTCGGTTTCGGTAGTACGACAACAACAGGAGCTACCACAGGTGGTCTCTTCGGGTCTACTCCATCCACAGGCACCGGTCTATTTGGCCAGCAGACCAACACCCTGGGCGGAGGGGGGCTATTCTCCAATAACACTGGTAGGTTTGGAGCAATCGAGCTTAAAAACAAAAGGTTGGGGGATAGGAAAAATAGGTTCAAACTTTCGGTAAATCTCTCATGGCGCAAATTGTGGTGGTTGTTTCACGCCGGTGTTACGTGTGGTCGTGGTATAACTCCGCGATCCGGCGTGATATTCGTGTAAAATTATTAAATGTCTTCAGAATTAGAATAATTCTAATATCATTTTATATAACTGATAGTTATATAAAATGATATTAAAATCTTGTAATGCGCTATGATTTGTCAATTGACATAAAAATTAATAATCAGAAAGAAATGAAATATTGTTATTAAATTAAAATAGTAACATTTTATGACCCGAGGGTACGGCGATCAAAGAGCCAATAGGCCACCACAGACGGGGCCCTGTAGGGCTGATGATGACTAACAAAACGACAGCACTTTATTTGCCGCCTCAATCCTACATACATGTGATACCCTTTTGACTGCACGGTTGGCGCGGTGGCTGGACAACTGGCTGCTGTGCAACGTGTCGCGGGTTCGATTCCCGCACGGAAAAACACTTTGTGTGATCCACAAATTGTTGTTCCGGGTCTGGGTGTCATGTGAATGTGATATTGTATGTTTGTAAACGCACCCACAACACAGGAGAAAACCATAAAGTGGGGCAACGTTAGTTAAAAAAAAATTCTTTATCCCAGCAGGTGGATTCGGGCAGCAACAGACCACTGCGACGGGAACAGCGCATGTCAAATACAACCCCGTCGTTGGGTCCGATGTTGTCGTCAAATCCGGGACCTCGCAGACTGTCAGCATCAAACACCACTGCATCACCTGTATGAAGGTAATGTATACACTAAATAGTATATATTTGAGGGAGGGGAAGGATTGGGCCTCCGGTAACCTCACTCACACGGCGAAACACAACGCTATGGTTGTTTCACGCCGGGTTTCTGTGAGACCGTGGTATCACTCCGGTCGAGCCGACCCATTCGTGCCGAAGCATGGCTCTCCCACACCTACAAAGTATAAAATAAAGTCGCTTTCTGTGTCCCTATATCTATATGTATGGTTTTCAATCCGCTGAAGCTATAAATTTATTTTTTGGATATAAGTAATAAAAAGCACTTTATATATTATCAATATTAGCCATAAAGAAATGTAGATAAAAAAATCTTTTAGTTTCGTCGTCCAAACTTTAAACTTTAAATTTAATAAAATAAATGCCAAAATTGTATGCTCAACTACTTTTTTTGTATTTCAACAGGAAACTTTGCTCATAACATGTATTGTGAATCAATAGCCAAATCAAATTGAACTTTAAATTCAATTCAAATAAATACCAAAATCCTACGTTAAACTACTTTTTCTATTTCGACAGGAATATGAGAATAATTCGCTAGAGGAACTTCACTCATAACATATATTGTAAATCAATAGCCAAACTAAATTGAACTTTAAATTCAATTCAAATAAATACCAAAATTCTATGCTGAGCTACTTTTTTCTATTTCGACAGGAATATGAGAATAAATCGCTAGAGGAACTTCGTTCATAAATAGTAAATCAATCGGCAAACCAAATTGAACTTTAAACCCAAAATAAAATAAATACCAAAATCCTATGCTAAACTACTTTTTCTATATCGATAGGAATATGAAAACAAATCGCTAGAGGAACTTCGTTCATAAATAGTAAATCAATCGGCAAACCAAATTGAACTTTAAACCCAAATTAAAATAAATACCAAAATCCTACGCTGAAGTACTTTTTCTAATATAAAAAGGAATATTAGAATAAGTCCTTAGAGAAACTTCGTTCATAAATAGTAAATCAATCGGCAAACCAAATTGAACTTTAAACACAAAATAAAATAAATACCAAAATCCTATGCTAAAGTACTTTTTCTATTTCGACAGGAATATGAAAACAAATCGCTAGAGGAACTTCGCTTAGAAGATTACGTGGCTGGTAGAAAAGGAAACACGACCGGAGTGTTCGGAGGGTTCCAGCCTCAGGCTGAAAATAAACCCCTCTTTGGTGGTAGCAGTAAGTATTTTAACCTTTATTTTAACGGATTACCTGATGGTAAGCAATCAGCGCCGCCCATGGACACCCGTAGTACCAAAGGAGTTACTACAAGTGCGTTTCCGGCCTCTTGTGGGTTATTAGGGATTTACGGATAGGAGGATTTGATATGGGGAGGTAGTGCGGTGGCTGGTAAACTGGCTGCCGAACGACATGTTGCGGGTTAGGTTCCCGTACGAAACAACCCTTTGTGTAATCCACAAATTGTGTTCCGGGTCTGGGTGTGATATATCTGTAAATTTGTATGGTGTAACCGCGACACAGGAGAAAATCCAAATGTGGGGCAAAGTTTAAAAATAAATTGACCTCCGGTAACCTCATTCACACGGCAAAATTCATCAAAAATGGGTCGGCTCGACTGGAGTGATGCCACGGCTTTACAGAAAGCCGACGTGCAGCATCATTTACGTTGCGTTTCGCCGTCTGAGTGAGGTTACCGGAGGCCCAATCTTTCAGGACCGTTCCAATCCTCTATCCTTAGTTCCCTAATAAATCACAAGAAGTCGGCAACGCACTTGTAGTAATTCCTTTGGTATTACGAGTGTGCATGGGCGGCGCTAAAAGCCTGGCTTGTCCTGTTACATAGAAAAACCAAAGCTCATTTAACCAAGGTTTGAAGGTCGTATCGGTGATATACATGTTAATAACTCATTTTTTTCGCAGCATTCGGTCAGGCGGCCACGACTAGCGCTCCGTCCGTGTTCGGAGGCTCCGCCCTCGGTACTACAGGGGGCTTTGGTGCGCAGAACTCGTCATTCTCCTTTGCCAACAATGCGCAAACTACAAACACTACCGGCCTGTTTGGAGCCAACAAACCGGCTTTTGGAGCTACTTCTACAGCTGGTAAGTTATTTAACGCATATTATCATCATCAGCCTTTAAGTGCCCACTGATGAGCAAAGGCCTCTTCTCACACGGAGAAGGTTTGAGCATTAATCACAAAGCTTGCTCAATGCGGATTGGCGATTTCAAACTTATAATTAGATATTACAAGTCCAGGTTTCCTCACGATGTTTACATTCACCGTATGTCAGTGTTGTCTAAATAATCATAGAAAGTATAATATATAACGCGGAAAAAGACACATTGGTACTTGTCATGGTTCGAATCGATAATCATCGACTATGTAAAATAAATAGATCGGCAAACGAGCAGACGTATTACCTGATGGTAAGCAATCAGCGCCGCCCATGGACACCCGCAACGGACGAGTTACAAGTGCGTTGCCGACCTTTTAGGGATTAGGGATTTGGAGATTAAGGGTTTGGGGAGGGATCGGGGGAGGAGAAGGATTGGGCCTCCAGTAACCTCAGTCAGTTGTTTCACGCCGGTTTTCTGTGAGGCCGTGGTATCACTCCGGTCGAGCCGACCCATTCGTGCCGAAGCATGGCTCTCCCACACTTAACAAGTTTAACTTCTTAAAAATTAACTGAAGAAGAAATAAAAATTTAATGCATCGACAGATAGATGAATAGAAGTATGGTTATTTTTTAATATTTTATTGTATTGAAACGTCGAATTAATTTATTTTTTTATTCAAATTTTGTTTTTTTTTTGTACAGGTGGAACCGGACTATTTGGTGCTACTACAACGCAAACGCAAGCTCCAACGTTCGGTACAAATACTTCCACATTCGGTTTCGGTTCAAACACACAGAATCAGGTATGTTAATATATATTATAATAGGTCTACCTATGAAATTGCCGTTTTGCATGAAAAAATTTAAACGAATTTTTCGATTTGAAATGCGATGAAAATGTAACACTAATTAATAAACAAATGACTACTTTTGGAAAAAGAATCCCATGTTTTTAAAACAAAATTATTAGCCTAAACCCGGTTTCCGAAAGGCCGATCAATGTTAACATCAATTTAATCTCTTGTCAAGTCATCTGATTGGTTGACTGAATTATCAACAACCAATCAGATGACTTGACAAAAGATTTAACAGGAGATTAGTTAATTTTAGCGTTGACAAGCCTTTCAGAAACCGCGTGTTAGCCTAACAAAAACTATTTTGATTTGAAATGGCCAGTACTGCTGAACGGCAATTTCATAGGTCCTATTATTTACTAGCTTTTGCCCGCGACTTTCGCTTGGAATAGTGACTCCCTGCAGATTTTTGGTATAAAAACTATCCTTCCAAACTATGTCTGTAGCAAATTTCACAGAAATAGGTTCAGTAGAGTTTAGGCGTGAAGGCATACAGACAGACAGAGTTACTTTCGCATTTATAATATTAGTTTGGATTTTTGATTTAATATTTTTTTAATTTAATAATTTATTAATACTTGATTTAACATTTTTTTATGGATTTGATCCAATTACGTCAAAATAAAGAAATACTAAATTTATAGAAAACTAGGTTCCGCCAACGTGGATGTCGATTTTACACTATTTCAATATATTATTTTTAATTTACTCTACATACAAGCTTTGCCTGAACTTTAACGAATAATTTAAAACCAAAATTAGCGAAATCGGTAAAGGCATTGTTGAGTTATAACATTATTACAACGAAAAGCTATTTTAATTATATAAGGTGAAACAGGATATTTAATATTATTATTCTCTTTTCTACAGCAACAATCGAGCGGTCTTCTCTTTGGCGCCGCGAAACCAGCTCAGCCAGCGTTCGGCGCGACCCCCGCCAGTAGTGGCTTCGGCGCCTTCGGGACCGGCGGGGTCTTTGGGGCCAAGACACAGGCACCCAGCTTCGGCACTCAGGCACCCGGTCAGTACTACTGGGCTTATATATATATATATATATATATATATATATATATATATATGTTATAGGTCGGCAAACGAGCAGGCGCATTACCTGATGGTAAGCAGTCAGCGCCGCCCATGGCAACACCGTCTGCTCGTTTGGCGACCTATCACCAAAAACTTGAAAATATCTTATCTATACTAATATAATAAAGAGGTAAAATTTGTAAGTTTGTATGTAGGGGGCAATCTTTGCAATAGCTGTCGTATTTCCAAAATTATTTCTCTGATAGATAGCTACAATGTTCCTGAGTGCTATAAATTATTCGCGCGGCTCCATTCGGATCCATTTAATCGTAGCGTGGTGTTTAATAGCCTAAAACCTTCCTCGATAAAAGTACTAACAGACACAAAAAGAATTACTGAATTCGAACCAGTAGTTTTGGAGATTAGCGCTTACAGGCAAACAAATAAACTCTCCAACTTTATAACAGTATATATAGTCTAGTATAAATTAACTTTAATATTCTTTATTCTCTCTCTTAGCTTTCGGATCAATGACCTCCGGTGGATTTGGCACGAATACCTCTACGGCGAGCGGTGGACTCTTCGGAGGTGGTCAGACCGGGTTCGGGAAACCCGCTACGGGACCTACGTTCGGCTTCGGTACCACACCCCAAACTGGACTTGGTGAGTCAATAAATTGAAAATGAAATAAAAAAATTCGGTTACTTTTATAACGTCAATATAGAATAATAGTCCGTCAGTGAAGCTAGGTGCTCGTTCCAAATTGTAGATTGAGAAAAATTGAGACATATGCTTTACCTATATAAATGTCTAAATGGATGGGCTTCTATTAAAATTTAATGGTAATTTATAATTTATAGTTTTCTCAGTCTATAATAAATTATTTCAACTTATAATAACATAAAAACTTTAAAAATAATCTCTACTTAAATTATGGTGTCACAATATTAGTTACGTTACTCCTCCGAAACAGCTTTACTGATTTTTACCAAATTTTATATGCGTGTTAAGTAGGTCTGAGAATCAGCTACAGTCTAATTTTCATACTTCAAAATGATCACAATTTATTTGGCAAAACAATGTTTGCCGGGGCTGCTAGTACTTAATATAAGTTTTTCAAAAGAGATAAGTATTCCATTAGTAACCCCGGCTGAACATCAGCCCTATAGGGCCCCGTCTGTGGTGGTCTATTGGCTCCTTGATCGCTACGCGCCGTACGCTCGGGTCTGGTTCTGGTCGGGCGGCGAGCTGCCCTTACTCGCCGTCCGCAGACCCGCGCTCGATCGTCAGTATTCGGCCGCGGCTGGGGCCTGAGGAGGAGGATAGCTCCCTCACGCGCTCTGCCTCCTTCTTTACGAGCTTAACTGCGTCACAGAAAGAGGAGACGGCTTCCCAGTTCCTTTCGCTCCGTGAGGTAACTGCTTATAGCTGTCATCATCATCAGCCTATAAGTGCCCACTGCTGAGCAAAGGCCTCTTCTCACACGGAGAAGGTTTGAGCATTAATCACCACGCTTGCTCAATACGGGTTGGTGATTTCAAACTTATAATTAGAAATTATAAGTCCAGGTTTCCTCACGATGTTTACCTTCACCGTATGTCAGTGGTGTCTAAATAATCATAGAAAGTACATATAACTCGGAAAAAAGTCACATTGGTACTTGCCAGGTTTCGAACCCACGGCCACCACGACGTCTATACCTAATACCTATAACTGCTTATAGCTATAAGTTGATTATAATTGTGGTAATATTTATTCACAGGTACAGGTCTAGGCGGAGGCCTCGGCAGTAACACGTTCCAAGCCAAGCCGGCAGCCCCCGCCTTTGGTCAACTCGGGAGCACGCCCTTCGCCACGCAACAAGCCAACAATACTATGTTTAAAACCGGTATGTACCATTCATCGTTATCGTATCCAGTAGGAAGTATAAAACTAGAAAGGATCTGGGTATGGTTTGATGAAGAAAAATCTTTGATTATAGATAGGCCAGTTGCTTTATTATAAATAAATAAAACTAAGCCGGACTGTATGCAATGAAATATAATAATTTAAATGTACATGGTTACAATTAAGTAGCAAGGGTAGTTCGCGCGTCGTCGCTTGAAGAAGTAGTGAAGTGTCCCCGAGCCGCGCCGTCCCCCGCGTCCCGCGTCCCGCGCCCCGCTTGTAGCCGGGGCCCAGTAGTTGTGAATGTGTGAACAGTCTTGTCATTCAATATTGGTCACATCATTTTTTGGTCATTTGCCATAATTCTTCCGACCAATAGTCAAATGCGGGACAACGCAAGACCCGTCCGGACGCATGTACGCTGTGGACAAATAAATATAAATATAAAAATAGTGTAGGGAAGCATCACAGAAAACCTGTAGTTTCATTGTGAAAGTGAGCTTTATGTCGATACGAATAAGATCCAATTACATTTAACAAGAAAAAATTAACAACATTTACAAGTTCCTCTCTCAGTACCCTAATGCACTCCAATAAAATATCCTTGACTGCACGGTTGGCGCGGTAGCTGGGCAACTGGCTGCCGTGCGACGTGTCGCGGGTTCGATTCCCGCACGGAACAACACTTTGTGTGATCCATAAATTGTTGTTTCGAGTCTGGGTGTGATTTGTATGTGAATTTGTATGTTTGTAAAGGCACCCACGACACAGGAGAAAATTCTAGTGTGGGGCAGCGTTTTTCTAAAAAAAAATCATCAGCCTATAAGTGCCCACAGCTAAGCAAAGGCCTCTTCTCACACGGAGAAGGTTTGAGCATTAATCACCACGATTGCTCAAGGTGGATTTTCGAATTTAAACTTATAAATAGAACTTACAAGTCTAGATCTCCTCACGATGTTTTCCTTCACCGTATGTCAGTGGTGTCTAAATAATCATATAAAGTACATATAACTCGGAAAAGTCGGGGTTGCGGGGTAAGCGCAATGAGGCACCGTGGCCTCGGCCCAGAGCAGGAGAAGGAACAGGAGGCTTTTAGTCAGTAAGAGTCTGACAGTTCCCTCCCGCCCGGCCCTGGGCAGAAGAAGTTATTTGATGATTTCCCCTCACAAAAAGGGCACCTTAACCTCCGGGACACGACGAGCAATCGATATTGTTAATTATTTTTTTCATTTCTAACAGGTTTGGACACATCCCTTGGTGGCGGCCTTTTTGGTAACAATTCATCTCTCACCGGCGGACTAGGGCTTGGGATGCAAAACAACCAAAATAATGCTATCAAGTAAGTTATCTATAATCTATCTTCTTCATCTTTATCTATACTAATATTATAAAGAGGTAAAATTTGTAAGTTTATAAGTTTGTATGTAGGGGGTAATCTTTGGAACAGAAAAAAAGAAAGAAAGAAAAAACATTTATTTAGACTCGCACAGGACAACAACAACAATAAAAAAAAAATATAACTACTTAATCTATATCAAAATTACAACAAAACGAAAACAGAAAACTAAAATTAACACAAGTGCTCTGTGCGAGGTCAAAAAGGCTCCTATCCCAGCATATGCTGCGATATTAAAAAAAATAACGCAGCGCTAGTATTCTGATAGGGCCTAGTGATGCCACGGACACCAACGGAACACATAAATAAAAAACAAACACACCGCGGGTCGGATTGCCAAAATTCTTTCAATGATACATAGCTACAATGTTCCTGAGTGCTATAGGCTATAAAACATCACGCTACAATCAAATGGAGCCGAGCAGCGGGTGAAACCGTGCGAGAGTAACTAGTGTATAAATATTTCTAAACTACGAAACCGATTTTAAATTTGATTTGCATGCATTTTGATCCAACTTGAAAGATAGGATAGCTTACATATCAATTTATAGTCACAATATTATTTACCTTAGCCACAGCAACGCGTGGCTGGGTCTGCTGTATATAAAAATCAATGCCACTTTTCATTGTAATGTTATAACTCAACAATGCCTTTACCGATTGGGCTAATTTTGGTTTAAAATTATTCGCGGAAGTCCAGGGAAGGTTTAAAAAGACAAAACATATATTTTTTTATTTTTATATTTGATTTGTCTTTTTAAGCCTGCCATTTGATATCCAAACTATATACAAACTAATTTTTTTTTCTTTAAAAAACGTTGCCCCACATAAGGATTTTCTCCTGTGTCGTGGGTGCGGTTATAAACATACAATTTCACATACACATGACACCCAGACCCGGAAAAAGAATTTGTGGATCACACAAAGAGTTGTGCTGTTCCGTGCGGGAGTCGCGACACCAAGCAGTCGATAATATTATAATGCAAAAATAACTCTGTCTGTCTTTTCTTCACGCCTAAACTACTGAATGTATTTGTGTGAAATTTGGTACAGACATAGTTTGGAACTCGAGAAAGGACATAGGATAGTTTTTATACCAAAAATCGGCAGGAAGTCACTGTTCCACGCGGACTAAGTCGCATGCAAAATCTAGTGGATTATATGTTTGGAAACGCACCCCCGACACAGGAGGCGTTCCTAAAGTACCTATCTACTTCACAAAGTAATGATACATTGCATTTTTCGTTTTAGCAATTCGCTCTCCGGTTCATCTGCGGCGGGCAATGTACACGAGCAGATTCTGACTCTCGCCGCGAGACCCTACGGAGACTCGCCCCTCTTCAAGGATCTACTCCCTGACTCTTGTAAGTAGTAAAAGAATAACGATGGAGTTTCTTTTCTTCTTTTTTATGTTATAAGTCGGCAAACGAGCAGACGGATTACCTGATGGTAAGCAATCAGCGCCGCCCATGGACATTTGCAACACCGAAGGAGTTACGAGTGCGTTTCCAGCCTTTTGGGGATAAGGGTTGTGGGTATGAGGATTGGGAACGGATAGGGGGAGGGGGAAGGATTGGGCCTCCGGTAACCTCACTGACACAATGCTGTCGATCATTAGGTGATTTAAAGATGAGAGTGGCTGGTGACATGAGTTAATATAATATTAAATAACTTTAAGGTTACCGGAGGCCCTATCCTCCGATCCCAAAATCTCCAATTCCCTAATCCTCGAAAGAGTCGACAAGCATTTCTAACTACTTCGTTGTAGCTGGTGTCCATGGGCGATGCCGATTGCTTACCATCAAGTAATCCGTTTGCTCGTTTGTCGACCTAAGACATTCAACAATGTTTTTATTATCATTTGTTATACATAATTTTAATAATTTTTTTCTCTCCTCCACCAGCAACTACAGCGGAAGACGTCTTGAAGCCGACAAACCCGGCTGCAGTACAGGCAGTATTAGAACGGTCCGGGTCTACCCAGTACCGGGTCACATCCCCGGTTGGCCCCCGCCTCGCATTAACCCCGCGGTCCGCGCTACAGCACGACAAGGTATCCCCTACCCTGGTTCTGCATGATAAGGTACTTTACTAACACTTTTTTTGATCATGGAGGGCGAAAATCTCAATTAGATTAGTGTTTGAACGTGTTTTTGTAGTTGCGCAATGTTTGCGCAACGGTTGCGCAGTGACTAAATGGTGTTAATTTGGTATGTGGGTACTGTTAGTTATGTTATTGTGGTTGCGCAATGAATTTAACAAGTGTAACTGCTTTGTAAGAGCTTTTTATGTTTAATAACTCGCGCTCAATCTTCATTTAGCGTTTGAGTATAACAAGGTATCCTGTTGCCCTAATGCTGCATGATAAGGTACTTTACTAACACTTTTTTTGATCATGGAGGGCGAAAATCTCAATTAGGTTAGTGTTTGAACGTGTTTTTGTAGTTGCGCAATGTTTGCGCAACGGTTGCGCAGTGACTAAATGGTGTTAATTTGGTTTGTGGGTACTGTTAGTTATGTTATTGTGGTTGCGCAATGAATTTAACAAGTGTAACTGCTTTGTAACAGCTTTTTATGTTTAATAACTCGCGCTCAATCCTCAGTTAGCGTTTGAGAATAACAAGGTATCCTGTTGCCCTAATGCTGCATGATAAGGTACTTTACTACAGTATTTTGGATCATGGAGGGCGGAAATCTCAATTAGGTTAGTGTTCGAACGTGTTGTTGTGGTTGCGCAACGGTTGCGCAGTGACTAAATGGTGTTCGTTTGGTTTATGGGTACTGAAAGCAAAGAAGGTTTGGTAGCACAATTAATTCAACAGGTATAACTGCGTCTAGAAGCTTAATATTTGTTCAATATTCGTGCTGACTCTGCAGCGTAGTTTTGTTGTTGCGCAAGATGCGCATTGTTTGCGCAAGTTCGCAATGGTTGCCCTAACTAATGTATGAAATTAACTTTTTTTTTGCGCAATCAAGAAAGCTTTGCGCAAACATATCTCTATGCTATACTAACAAAACGCATTACGCTTATGATGCCAACCGTGAAAAAGTCACAATACGGTAGTTTCCAACTAGTCAAATTCAATACTTTTATCCAAATGTCAAAAACGATACTTTTCTATGAAATTTGTATGATACACTGAGTTGTGACGTTATAGTATTTTTGCGTCAAATGGCTTACTTATTTCTTTATAATTAGCTAAAAAATAATCTAAAACTTAGTGTATCGATCGATCGATGTATGAAAGTATAGTTATTTTTCAATATTTTTATTGTATTTAAACATCGAATTTATTTATTTTTGACCTAGGAAACTACCCAATTTGTTTTATCTATATCTATATATTTATATAAAAATCAATGCCACTTTTCCTTGTAATTTTATTATAACTCAACAATGCCTTTACCGATTTGGATAATTTTAGTCTTGGATTTATTCGTGGAAGTCTTAACAGGTTTGAAAACTTAAGTTAATTTTGAGGCGAAACGAAATTGGCCAGGTCAGCCAGTATTAGTCAAAGTCAGAAAAAAAGTCAAGAATCATTTATTCCAATTAGACCTTTACAGCCACTTTTGAACGTCAAACAAAATTTTGAATATATAAAGTGTCAGTCTTTCGGTCAGTCCTCTAAGTGAAGCTATTTGCTCGTTCCAAAGTGTAGATTCAGATGGAGAAGAACGAGCAAGAAACTCCATGGTTACTCTTTTTACAACATTAATACAGTCAACAATATTTTTCCCCCTTTAACTAATACATTAAAAATAATAGTTAAGTGTAGGAGAGCCATGCTTCGGCACGAATGGGTCGGGTCGACTGGAGTGATACCACGGCCTCACAGAAAATCGGCGTGAAATAACCACAGCGTTGTGTTTCGCCGTGTGAGTGAGGTTACCGGAGACCCAATCCTTCCCCTCCCCCAATCCCTCCTAAATCTCCAAATCCCTAATCCCTAAAAGGTCGGCAACGCACTCGTAACTCCTCCGTTGCGAGTGTCCATGGGCGGCGCTGATTGCTTACCATCAGGTAATCCGTATGCTCGTTTGCCGACCTATTAAATAAAAAATAAAAAATCTCTTCCCCAGAAATCTCTCTTCGATGGCTTAGAAGAATCAGACGCAAGCTTAGAAGATAAACTCAGCTTGAAACCGAGCCGTAAGCGTCTCGTGTTACGACCGAATCAGAGAGCCAACGAGAGCCACCATGACAGCGTCGATCACAGCAACAATGAAAACGCCAGGTTAGTTACCTTTATACATTTTATTACCACCGTTAATCTTATCGTGGGTGCAAGATACCCCTGAGGTCTTAGTCAGTAAATGTCTGACAATCCCTCTAGCCCCACCTAAAGCGTTGAGAAAGCATTAGGTGAAGTTCTCTCGTCAAAAGAACTTATAATCGGCTTGAAACAACCACAGCATTGTGTTTCGCCGTGTGAGTGAGGTTACCGGAGGCCCAATACATGCTACTTCCCCAATTTCTTCCCAATCCTAAAATATCTGAAACCAAGATCATTTACTAAAATATTATTCTTGTTTCTCTTTATCAGGTCAATGGAAGAGCCACCAAGGTCTAATGGGGCGCCTCTCTCCCACGAGGCGACTTCTGATCAGCCAAACATTGACGAAGTGGATCGAAGACAGGAGGAGTATATCTCTTTAAAAGATGCTGGGAAACGTAAGTACCTACCTTTTATATTATTACTATCAACCCGTCCCGGTTTCGCAGGGGTGTAATACTGATACTAATATTTCTCCACTATTTAATGGATGTTATTATACATACAAACCTTCCTCTTCAAGCGCAATGAGGATGAGGCACCGCGGCCGCGGCCTCGGCCCAGAGCAGGAGAAGGAACGGGGAGGTTTTTAGTCAGTAAGAGTCTGACACTCCCTCTCCGCCCGATCTTGGGCGGGAGAAGTCATTTGAGGATTTTTCCCTCGCCAAAAAAAATCTTCCAGTTCAGTCACTTTATCTGTTTAAAAACATCGCCTCAAAATCAGTTGCGTAGTTTTAAAGATTTAAGCGTACATAGGGACACAGAAAGCTACTTTTTTATACTAGCTATTCTCGCGCGTTTTCAATCGCTGCTCATCTCCATTTAATCGTAGCGTGATGTTTTGTTGCCCATAGCACTCAGGAACATTGTAACTATCTATCAGTGAAAGAATTTAGGCAATCCAACCAAGCAGTGGTTCCAAAGATTACTCCCTACATACAAACTTACCAATTTTACCTCTTTATAATATTAGTATACACTATGTAGTTATTATTATCCGCTACTGCGGATATATATGATATTTTAGACTAGAAAATCTATCTCTGTGCCAAATTACATTCAGATCCGTTGAGTAGTTTACCTGAAAGAGTAACAAACATACATCCGTACTCACAAACTCTCACGTTTATAATATCAGTAGAAGTGTGGGAGAGCCATGCTTCGGCACGAATGGGTCGGCTCGACCGGAGTGATACCACGGCCTCAAAGAAAACCGGCGTGAAACAACCACAGCGTTGTATTTCGCCGTGTGAGTGAGGTTACCTTAGGCCCACTCCTTCCCCTCCCCCAATCCCTCCTTAATCCCTAAATCTCCAAATACCTAATCCCTAAAAGGTCGGCAACGCACTCGTAACTCCTTCTTTCTTGTGGGTGTCCATGGGCGGCGCTGATTGCTTACCATCAGGTAATCCGTCTGCTCGTTAGCCGACCTATTAAATAAAAAAAAAAAAAATTATACAAATATCAATCTTCATTTTTGAACGAGCACCTAGATTCAATGACGAACAGACTGAAGGACTATTATTCTCATAACATTTATATTTTTTTCTTTACAGAAGCTGATGTCAGCGCTGGCTCCGACAAACACGGCAGTTGGTAAGCGCCACAGAGTCTATACAAAACAAATTAAGCTAAATCCTTAGGGCCGTTTCCTAGATCACAATACATGCTTTTTCAAGCAATCAGCGCCATCTGTCGGGCTGATTTGTGAATCTAAACTATCCACGGTGCCACTGCCATGGTATACAGAAAAATGCATTTAAATTGGTCATTATTTTATCGTATTTTTTTATTATTAACTAGCTATTCTCACGCAGTCTCACTCGCTGCTCGTCTCCATTTAATCGTAGCGTGATGTTTTATAGCCTATAGCTCTCAGGAACATTGTAGCTATCTATCAGTGAAAGAATTTTGGCAATCCGAACAGCGGTTCCAAAGATTACCCCCTACATACAGACTTACAAACATAGAAACTTCTTTATAATATTAGTATACATTTATTAATCTTTTTAGGCTCAGCGCTTCGAAGATGTGGAATGATAAGGAGCGTCCCATTGATGGGGAACCAACCCCAAGGCTGTACCCTAATATCGGTAAGTTTATTTTTTAATGTTTAAAATCACCTACCCGCCTTGAGCAAGCGTGGTAACTGCTCAAACCTTCTCCGTGTGAGAAGAGGTCTTTGCTCAGCAGTGGACACTTATAGGCTGATGATGATGTGATGTGTGATTCACTTATCCTCAAGCAGTCCAACAAAAATTGTCTTCTGTTCTTTATATGATAGGACGGCAAACGAGCAGACGGATTACCTGATGGTAAGCAATCAGCGCCGCCCATGGACACCCGCAACAACGGAAGAGCTATGAATGCGTTCAACCTCATTATATTAGAGATTATTACTTATGTCATAGATATATTACTTATATATTAGAGATTTGGAGACTTTGGGTTTGTGGAGGCATTGTGTCTCCGGTAATCTTACTCACACGGTGAAAAACAACGCTGTGGTGGTATTACTCCGGTCGAGCTGACCCATTCTTGCCGAATCATGGCTTACCCACACGACTTTCGCCCGAGAACACAAAAAACTCTGCATTTATATAATTATTTTTTTCTTTAGACAAAGACATACAAGCGCAAGTCACGGAGCGTCGCGCAAGTTGGCTGACAACCAAACCTTTGCGCAAACCGCTCGCCAGTAACCCGGAGTCTGCTGAGCATTCCGTCAGGGAGCTCGCGGGTAGGACCGACACATCGCACGATAAGGAGAATGTTGATACTCTGTCGGGTAAGTTTAGTAAATGCTTTGAATAAGTATAATTTTCTGTTCAATTTAGGTAAAAATTTTTGCGCAAGCATTTTGAGCGTGTTGCGCAACCGTTTTGGGCGTGTTACGCAACCGTTTTGTGTGTTGCGCAACCGTTTTGGGCATCTTTCGCAAACCTTTTGGGCATGTTGCGCAACCCTTTTGGGCATGTTCTTATTAGTAGTAGTGACTTTTTACTTACACCAAGCACTGCTACTGTTAAAAACTCAATGTTTTTTGCTTTTATCCTTTTATACAATAAAAAAACATCCCGTTCCATTTGGGTACTTGACAACTGATATTTCAATTCAATTTTTGAATTGTTAAAAATGACAGTTTTTTTCGGATTTTTTTGTTGTGACTACTTGTTTTTGCTGTCAATATTCGAAAATTGTATAATAATAGGAATAACGTGTGACGTATTTTTACGTTATTCTTTTATATCTATATTATTATCGATAATAAGGGTTCATTCAAGAATTACGTAAGCACTATGGGGAGTGGATGCTTTGTTAATTTTGGGTAATATTAAGACTGACATTCCCCCCTTAAGTCTTAAATCAATGATTACGTCGACGTGTAACGATTTGTAGTAAAGTAAATTATTGCCAAGTAGAGCGCGATGCACAGCATCGTAAGTGCAACGTCAGCATTATTGCTAAACAATACAAAATGTACGGTTTTGCTCGTACAGGTAGTTATGGACCTCTTAAGCATAACTTAATCACTGTAGAAGGCGGGGTTATTTAGGGATGGAAGTGGGGGGAGATATTTACTTGAAGTTGGTATAAATAAAACCTTTTTAAGTATAAGTAAACGTTGATACGCCTGCTTACGTAATTCTTGGACTGCACCTAATATTTTTGTCTGTGTCAAGTACTCAATCACTTAGTCCTCAATACCTTCCTACCATAATCCCTCTCCCAATTCCCTCCTCACCAGTGAGTCCCCTGGAACGTCTTCAAACTCTCCAATTCTGTCGACACCGGTCCGGGGAGCGAGCCGGATGTTCTAGATGCGAGAAAATAGCTCATCAGATCGGAGGATTGTATGGTAGGATTATATATTAATTGTTATAATAAGGTAGGCTTACAGCTTATGTATACAAAGTAGTTAAAAGTGTTGGTATAGGCAGTAGGTCTTATATATTAGCCAGTTACGAGCTAACCAACATTCTAAAAATTATGCGTTTGTACAGACAAAATATATAGAAATTATAACAAATAAACATAAATAGGACAAAAGTATTTATCATAGTAAAGTATAACCTTTGTTATTAAGTAGTTAGATTATAAATATATATTGGTTACAATCAATCTTAATAGAGTTTTTTTACGAGACTTCACATTCGGCGCCGTGGCTGGGCACGGAACAACTCTTTGTGTGATCCACAAATTGTTGTTCCGTGTCTGGGTGTTGCGTGTTTGTGATGGGTGAAATTGTATGTTTGAACACGCACCCACGACACAGGAGAAAATTCTAGTGTGGGGCAACGTAAAAAAAAAGAGTATTTGGATTATATACTGGTTTAAATTGTCTATTTTAAGATTTTTCTGGTATACGCTGACATTATTAACACTAAGTTAAAAGTGCGTTGCCGGCCTTTTGTGGGTTAGATTTGCGGATGGGAAGAAAGCTGTCGTTGTTTCACGCCGGTTTTCTTTAACGCCGTGGTATGACTCCGGTCAAGCCAAACCATGACTCTCGCACACTTAGTTTGAATTTAGATAGCTAAGAGTTTTATAGTACCTTCAAATAGTTTCTAAATATATGTCAAAAATCGTCTCTTTGACCGTGTCGCTTGTCGACTGGTCGGAATCGCGACTCCCAACCAAAATGCTCAGGTTGGATCCCTGGGTCTCGAATAAATTAATAGGGTCGACCATTAATAGTTAATTTTCTTTATAAAGTTTCAGAGGAGGAGAATATTGCACCAAGGGAGGTTCCTCCTCATCCGACAGGAGTGAAACTCACTCGTCCCGGCTATTACACTATCCCCTCATTGGATGAGATGATTGGTAAGTACAATTTATGTAATCTTTATTATTATTAATTTCCACAACTTAGAATGGGTTTTTATGAAGACACACTTATGCTTTTATTAATAGGTACTAGCTTTTCCCGCGGCTTCGCTCGCGTTAGAAATATTATTATTAATTAGGTATAGTTTTTGCGGCTTTACTTTAGCGTGTGTTGCGTGTATTGAAAATTAAGTATAATCTTCTTAGATGAAATTAAAGATTGATGAATCATCTTTATACAAACTTTCATGCCCTATTTTAGCCCTTTAGAGGTGGAATTTATCAAAATCCTTTCTTAGGGGTTGTAGGCATCCCGTATAACCGTTATAGTAGCTATATGCATGCAAGGTCTCAGTCCGATCGGTTTAAAACTGACCAAGTTTCATCCCCATTTTTATCCCCTTGGGGGTAAAATTAATCAAAATCCTTTCTTTCTTTTTTCAAATTTCAGTCCGATCCGTCCAGTAGTTTGGGCTGTGCGTTGATAGATCACTATATCACCTTAAAGTTTTATCTATACTAATATTATAAAGAGGTAAAATTTGTAAGTTTGTATGTAGGGTGTAATATTTGTAACAGCTCTGGTCGGATTTCCAAAATTCTTTCACTGATAGATAGCTACAATATTCCTGTGTGCTATGGGCTACAAAACATCATGCTATGATTAAATGGTGCTGAGCAGCGGGTGAAACCGCGCCAGAGTAGCTAGTATAACATAAATTTAGATTATTTTATTTCATAATTGTCCACAGCGTACATGCGTCCGGACGGGTCTTGCGTTGTCCCGCATTTGACTATTGGTCGGAAGAACTATGGCAATGTATACTATGATTGCGAAATTGATGTCGCCGGCATGGACCTCGATAGTTTAGGTGAGTTGTATGTTATATTTGTTTGTTTTAATATGTCATCATCAGCCTATAAGTGCCCACTGCTGAGCAAAGGCCTCTTCTCACACGGAGAAGGTTAAAGCGTTAATCGCAACGCGCAACGCTTGCTCGCGGATTGGCGATTTCAAATATACCTATTGGAAACTAGCAGACTGCCCCTGCCGCGCACGGGTATTGCACGCGGTTTCCGAAAGGCTTGTCAACGCTAAAATTAACCAATCTCCTGTTAAATCTCTTGTCACGTCATCTGATTGGTCGTTGATAATTCAGTCAACCAATCAGATGACTTGACAAGAGATTAAATTGATTTTAACATTGATCGGCCTTTCGGAAACCGGGTGTTAGTCTGACTACCCCGGTGTCAGTCATTTGTTTTGCAAGCGAACGGCCCCGGCACCATTGCTGGCTTGTAAAGTCCCAGATTCCCACTATTCCCCTTTACTTTTCTATAGTTTTCTTTCGTGAGAACCTTCTGCTAACAATAACGTACATAACAAAAAACTAATTGAAAAAATTGGTTCAGGTGTTATTGGGTTATGCACTTACAAACACGTTTCGCGATTCATTTTTGTATTATAGATTGTAAGTCCAGGTTTCCTCACGATGTTTACCTTCACCGTATGTCAGTGGTGTTTAAATAAATCATTGAAAGTACATATAACTCGGAAAAAGTCACATTGGTACTTGCCTGGCTTCAATACTCTCATGCATGAGGAGCGGGCTACTTAACCTCCGGGCTACTACGGCTATAGTATATCCTATACGTATTATTTATGTCATAAGTCGGCAAATAAGCAGACGGATTACCTGATGGTAAGCAATCGGCGCCACCCATAGTAACTCGCAATACCAAAGGAGTACCTACAAGTGCGCTGCCGGCTTCTTGTTGGTTGTTAGGGATATGGGATTTGAGGATAGACGATGGGAGTTTAACCTCCGGTAACCTCACTCACACGGCGAAACACAACGCTGTGCTTGTTTCACGCCGGTTTACCGTGAGGCCGTGGTATCATTCACACGTAATGTCGATTTTTTATTGATATCTGTTATCTTTGTGTCATATACCAATAATCAATTATTTTATTTAAATTTCAGTGCACTTCTTGAACAAAGAGGTAATAATCTACCCGGATGAGTCTGAGAAGCCTCCTCTAGGGGAGGGTCTAAACCGACGCGCCATTGTAACCCTAGACCGCGTCTGGCCGAGAGACAAGAGTGAAAAGCGAGCTATAACTGATCCAGAAAGGTAAGTTAATATCTATACTTCTATACTAATATTATAAAGAGGTAAAATTTGTAAGTTTGTATGTAGGGGGTAATCTTTGGAACCGCTGCTCGGATTGCCAAAATTATTTCACTGATAGATAGCTACAATGTTTCTGAGTGCTATAGGCTATAAAACATCACGCTATGATCAAATGGACCCGAGCAGCGGGTGAAACCGCACGGGAGTAGCTAGTTAATAATAAATTATTAATAAAAAATTGACTGCAAGGTTGGCGCAGTGTCAATGCAATTCCCGCACGGAACAACTCTTTGTGTGATCCACAAACTGTTGTTCCGGGTCTGGATGTGTATATCAGAAAATGTTTATTTGTAAGCGCGCCCACGACACAGGAGAAAATCCTAGTATGTTGCAGCGTTTTTTTTTTTGATATAAATAAAATAAAAACTAAATATTTCTTTCACAGACTAGCGAAAATGGAATACGAATGGAAGTTACGTCGGGTCTGCGACAAGCACAACACGAAATTCATAGAGTACCGTCCCAGCTCCGGTAGCTGGGTGTTCCGCGTCGAGCACTTCAGTAAATACGGTCTCACTGACTCCGACGAAGACGATGATGTACCGGAACTCATGAAGAGACAGCTCGTCACTCAAGTCCTGCAGAAGACCGCGGCGCCTAGTAAGTAATTTGTTTTTTATGTATTAGGTCGGCAAACGAGCAGACGGATTACCTGATGGTAAGCAATCAGCGCCGCCCATGGACACCCACAACGGAGGAGTTACAAGTGCGTTGCCGACTGTTTAGGGATTAGGAATTTGGAGATTTTGGGATTGAAGAGGGATTAGGCCTCCAGTAACCTCACTCACACGGCGAAACACAAAGCTGTGGTTGTTTCACGCCGGTTTTCTGTGAGGCCGTGGTATCACTCCCGTCGAACCGACGTCCCCTTATTGCTATTTATTTATTAATAGAATTGATATAACTATACCAAAGGTAGACTGGAAGAGAATGCTCATTGTATTAGGTCCACCTTATGCACAATTTTGGTTGTGCATGAAGTTAAATTAAAAAGCATATATATTACTAGCGGCCCGTCCCCGCTTCGCACGGGTCCAACTATCTCGCTATCAAAGTGTCACTTTTTCCTAATCTTCCCCTCTACTTTTCTTATATTTTCTTTGATAAGAACCTTCTCCTGACAATAACAAACACAACAAAAAAAGAATTAGCAAGATTTGTCCAGGCGTTGTTGAGTTATGCGCTTATAAACACATTTTGCGAACCATTTTTATATAATTATAAAGATTAATCCTTCAATTAACTCTAAATATCTAATATTGCTCTCTTACAGCCCCCAAACAGCCGGTAGCGACCCCATCGGCGGGGTTAGGAGGTCTGGGTGCCCCCCCTCTGATCCCTGAAGACAATCTTTTCGCCATGCAGCAGACCTCGCTGAACCTTCTCAATGGAGCTGGGAAAGGTATGTATGCTCTATAAGCCTATAAGTGCCCACTGCTGAGCAAAGGCCTCTTCTCACACAGAGAAGGTTTGAGCATTAACCACCACGCTTGCTCAAGGCGGATTGGCGAATTCAAACTTATAATTAGAAATTATAAGTCGAAGTTCCCTCACGATGTTTCCCCTCACCGTATGTCAGTGGTGTCTAAATTATCATAGAAAGTACATATAACTCGGAAAAAGTCACATTGGTACTTGCCAGGTTTCCACAAAGATTCAAACATTATTGTTGAAAAATATTCTTGATGAGCAATGTATGTCTCAGTTGATGCAATAGCTGGATGACAGGCTTTTATACAACGTGTCGCGGGTTCGATTCCCACACGAAAAAAACTATTTGTTGTGTCACAAATTGTTGTTCTGGGTCTGGGTGTGATGTGTATGTGAATTTGTATGTTTGTAAACGCACCCACGTCACAGGAGAAAATGCTTTTCTTCTACACTTTCATTTAATAAAACAAGACTTGAGAATGTACCACGCTTAGTGATTGTTAGAATACTAATGTCAGTCGCTACTGGTAGTATAAAGGAACTGGTTGAGACTGGTATCGGACGGATACCACGGCCTCGAAATACGCCGGCGTGAAACAAGCGCAACGTTGTATTTTTTTGCTTACCATCATCCCATATTCGTGTGAGAGAGCCAAGGTTCGGCACGAATGGGTCGGCTAGACCGGATTGATACCACTGCCTCACAGAAAACCGTTGTGAAACAACCACAGCGTTGTGTTTCGCCGTGTGAGGCCCAATCCTTCCCCTACACCAATCCCTAAATCTCAAAATCCTGGGTACTAGTCTCCAAAACGCACTCGGAACTCTTTTGGTGTCTATAGCGGCGCGCATTGCTTACCATCAGATAATCCATCTTTTCATTAGCCCATAATAATGGAAACAGTTTGAATTTATTCCCTAACAGGTAACCAAATGACGACGTATTCGTTTAATCCCTCATTTGGACCCCAAGCTGGGGTCGTACTAGACCCCAGGGCCCCCAATGACCCCGAAATCCCTTCAGCACCATACAACGAAGAGTACGTTCTCCAAAAACGTGTAGCCAAAGCTATGCTTTGCACGAATATGTGCCTTATAACCGTAGTACTAGTTGTCATTATTCTATCTTTTATATTTATTCTTATATTCTTTTTCTTCTTTAGAAAGTAGATGTTATATTTTTTTTTTACTCACCGAAACGACCACAGCGTTGTGTTTCGCCGTGTGAGTGAGGTTACCGGAGGCCCAATCCTTCCCCTCCCCCAATCTCCCCTCAATCCCTGATTCTCCAAATCCCAAATCCTTAATTCCTAAAAGGTCGGCAACGCACTCGTAAATCCTCCGTTGCGGGTGTCCATAGGCGGCGCTGATTGATTACCATCAGGTAATCCGTCTGCTCGTTTGCCGACCTATTACATAAAAAAAGTATTTTTTTTTTAAATATTGCCTACCTCGCTTAAGGTAGTTCTATTTAAATTCAAGTAAAATATATATTTTTAAATATAGTAGTCTATCCCGTATAGAATTGTAAAGCTTAAAGTTATGATTATAATAATTATATTAGGATAATATGTAACTATAGGTATTTCTTAAGATATTTTGTTTAGATATGATACTTTGTGTTTAGTCTTTAATGTAACCGTAGTTTTACTACACATGGAACCTACTAGAGCTATTGAACCCCGCCCTGGCTTGGAGAAGGAACGAGGGGTTTTTAGTCAGTTACGGCCTTATTACAAAACAAGGTTTTACTTTAGTCTAGGACTAAACCATTGAGCCAGTTTTCGTATTTCGAATTGAAGGTAGATGACAATAAGATTCAAAATTCAAAACCCGACTCAATGGCTTAAACCTGGACTAAAGATAATCTTGTTTTGTAATAAGGGGGTAAGGGTCTGACACTTACTCTCTTTCCACTCTAAACAAGAGAAGGCATTTAATCATTTACAAAACCCATGCTATTGATAACTAGCAACTCTCCCGCGGTTTCATGCTGCCGCCCCCGCTGCTCGGCTCCATTTGATCGTAGCGTGATGTTTTATAGCCTATAGCACTCAGGTACATTGTAGCTATCTATCAGTGAAAGAATTTTGGCAATCCGACCAGCGGTTCCAAAGATTACCCCCCACATACAAACTTACAAATTTTACCTCTTCATAATATTAGTATGATATACATGATACCTGTGCGATTTTCTCCAATCCTTCTGGCTTGAAAAGCGAAACTTTGGAATGATGTTTTGTCAGCGATATTCCTAAACCGATTCAACCTTCAAAAGTTCAAGAAAAGAGCGTACTCTTTCTTAAAAGGCCGGCTACAAGCCTGTGACTCGTTTAGTGTAGTGGGTTGTTTTTATGCTTGCGCTGATTGCTAATCGGCCCATAAGTGCCCACTGCTGAGCAAAGGCTTCTTCTCAAACGGAGAAGGTTTGATCACCACGCTTGCTCAATGCGGGTTGGCGATTTCAAACTTATAATTAGAAATTATAAGTCCAGGTTTCCTCACGATGTTTTCCTTTACCGTATGTCAGTGGTGTCTAAATAATCTTAAAGTAAATATAACTTGGAAACAGTCACTTTGGTAAGTACTTGCCAGGGTTCGCACCCTCATGCATGAGACGCGGGCTCCTTAATCTCCGCCCACCACGACCGTCTACTCGTTTGTCGCTTATTCCCATAAAAAAGTGTGGGAGAGCCATGCATCGGCACGAATGGGTCAGCTCGACCGGAGTGATACCACGGCCTCACAGAAAACCGGCGTGAAACGACCACAGCGTTGTTTCACCGTGTGAGTGAGCTTACCTAAGGCCCAATCGTTCTTCTCTTTCCAAATCCCAAAATCTTGAAAACCCTAATCCCCAAAAGGGTAGCAAAGCACTCGTTACTCCTTTGGTATTGCGTGTCTATAGGCGGCGCTGATTGCTTACGAATTAGGAAATAATTACTTAGAAATAAGAAAACTATGTATTAGTATATAACCTTTTTGTATATTCTACATACACATAAGATTACTTGTATACACAATAAATAAGTAGGTTAGTTTTTAATTAAAATCTATTGTACTCTTAATTATGATTATATCACAAAAAAGTTTGAATTAAAATTATATACAAAAAAAGTTTAAGTCGTCGTTGATTTTCCCTAGTATTAATAGACATACTTGTCTCCAACTAGTCAAATTTAATACCTATTATGACATTTGTTTCTATTGGGGTCTCACGAAAGAAAGAAAACCATGTCTTTAGATAAAGAGAGTCTAATCAGTTACACAATGTCACAAAACTAATTAGTTAGAGAAAAAATCAAATAAAATAGTAAGGTCGCGGACGCGATACATTCATGCGCGTCGCGGCCGTTAGCGGGGGCGGACTGAAGCTCGCGCGAACGACGCGGCGCGCGCAGCATCTCCCGCGCACGCGTCAAGTTGCCACAAATGTAGAGGTTCGGGCGGCGCGTTACATACCTTAATTGGAATGTAGCAAAATCGATACGAAGTAATAAAAAATAATAAAATACGATTTATTTCGTCATTACACCAATTACATTGTTACACAGTTTGTGGATGGTCTTAAAGAAAAAAATGATCCAAATAATGGGTAGAACACGTGGCTTTTGGCTTCGTTAAGTGTCTTTTTACACCCTGTATATGACTGAAAGTATTTTTATTATTTATTACAAAGCAATTAACAACTGGACAACTATTTAAAAAGTGTTGTGGTGATGAAGTGTGATAGAGCCATGCTTCTTCACGAATACGTCGGCTCGACCGGAGTGATACCACGGCCTCACAGAAAACCGGCGTGAAACAACCACAGCGTTGTGCTTCCGTGTCTGTGATGTTACTAAAGGCCCAATCCCTCCCCATCCCTTTCCAATCCTTAAATATTCGAAATAAGCCGGTAACGGGCTCGTAACTCGTCTGTTATTGCAAATGTCCATGGGCAGCGCTGATTGCTTACCATCAGGTAATCAGACTGCTAGTTTGCCGTTCTGTCCTATATAAAAATGACGTCATAATATTTTTATAGTAAGTTTATAAAGTAAGCTAGAAATTATCTAAAGTTACTTGTATCTTCAATGTTTTAAATGGAAGTATGGTTATGTTATAGTAACATATTGCAATGTTTTAAGAAACTGCATAATACAAAAGCAATACAGTGCGAGTAAAACAAATAAATTCACATATAGGCACGAGCCTTGTCCTGTCTACAATAAAAGTGAAAGACAATGTCAATCGAGTGGACTGCGCGGTTGGTACGGTGGCCGGTCAACTGGCTGCCGTGCAACGTACCGCGGGTTCGATTCCCGCACGGAACAACTCTTTGTGTGATTTACAAATTGTTGTTCCGGGTCTGGGTGTGATGTGTATGTGAAATTGTATGTTTGTAAACGCACCCACGACACAGGAGAAAATCCTAGTGTGGGGCAACTTTTTTTTTTAAAAAAAAAAACAAAAAAAAAATACATAAAAGTCAGACAAATAGGTTTTTAGTCAGTAAGAGTCTGACACTCGCCTTACCTTGGGCGGGAGAAGTAATTTGATGATTTTCCCTTGACAAAAAATAGGTTAGTAGAATAGTAGGATATAGGATCTATTTAAATCAGTTCTTTTCTATTAATCTGCCATTAATAATTAATAACTAGACATGGATTAATGCAACTTATGGTTCCCTTTTTATTTTAATTTTTGTAAGGGGAAAATCATCAAATGACTTCTCCCGCCCAAAGTGAGGCGAAAGAGTGTCATACTGACTAAAACCCCCCGTACCTTTTCCTGCTCTTGGCAAGCGGTGCCTCATTGCGCTTACCCCGCAACCCCGGCTGAACATCAGCCCTATAGGGCCCCGTCTGTGGTGGTCTATTGGTAACTTTTGGTCCCCTTATAAAACCAAATAGGGTTTGGTAGTGAAGAACAGAATGTAATAAATATGTTGTACCAGGCCCAACTTAGCAAATAAATATACATATTATTATAAACATTCCTCTTCAATCACTCTGTGTAATAAAAAACTGCATCAAAATCGCTTTAAAAATGTAAGCATATGTATGCTTAGGGATAAAGGGATAGAGAAAACAATTTTGTTTTATAATAGGTAGTGATGTTGGCTAAGGAACAGATAAGTGGATGGTAAGCAATCAGCGTCGCCAATTGATACACGCAACACCAGAAGAAAGAGATAGTTGCCAGCCTTTTTGGATTCGAGTTTCGAGGATTTAGGGATTGGGGGAGGGGAAGGGGAAGGATTGGGCACCTGATAACCTCACACACACGACGAAACACAACTTTTCAGTTACCTGTCATTGTGATATTGTTATAAGATAACTACTAGCTACTCCCCGTTTTACTAGCTGCTCGGCTACTTTTAGTCGTAGCGTGACGTTTTATAGCCTATAGCCTTCCTCGATAAATGGACTATACTCGTAAAACACAAAAAAATTGTTCAATTCGAACCAGTAGTTTCAGAGATTGGCCTGTTCAAGCAAGCTAACAGACAAAACTAAAGTATTTAGCTTTGTAATATTAGTATAGATTGTACGGAACCCTACGAACTTACAGACTCATTTTTAGCCACGTTCTTATGCGTTTTACACAATTCAACCAACATAGGATGATTCTGACTCTCGAATGAAATTCAGTATAATTTATTTATATTCCACTAGCTACTCTCATGCGGTTTCACCTGCTGCTTGGCTCAATTTGATCGAAGCGTGATGTTTTATAGCCTACTAGCAGACCGCCCCTGCTTCGCAGGGGTACCTGACTACCCGTGTCATTCATTTGTTTTCCAAGCGAACGGCTACGGCTTTGAAAGGATTGTTAATTACCGCTATTCCCCTTTACTTTTCTAATATTTTTACCCGTAAGAACCTTCTCCTGATAATAACGACATAACAACAAAAGAATTATCAAATTATCAAAAAAGCTTGGACCACCAAGCGTTATTGAGTTATGCGCTTACCAACACATTTTGCGATTCATTTTTATATTATAGATAGCATTCAGGAACATTGTAGCTATCTATCAGGGCAAGAATTTTGTCAAGCCGATCAGTTCCAAAGATTACCAAACTTAAAAATGTTACCTCTTTATAATATTAGTATAGATTTTCTTAAACTTTCTAAGGTTTAAGTGTACTCACTAAAACAAAAATCTGAATCAGGTCGTGATCGTGGTGGCCCAGTGGTTAAGGCGCCCGCTTCTCATGCATGACTCGTGAGGTTTCAAACCAAGTACCAATGCGATTTTTCGAGTAATATGTACTTTATATGATTATTTAGACACCACTGACATACGGTGAAGGTAAACATCGTGAGGAAACCTGGGCTTATAATTTCTAATTACAAGTTTGAGATCGTCAATCCGTCTTGAGCAAGCGTGGTGATTTATGCTCAAATCAAACCTTCTCCGTGTGAGAAGAAGCCTTTGCTCAGCAGTGTGTACTTATAGGCTGATGATGATGATGAACTGTGCAGTCAATAATTAACGTCAACATATGTTTTCTCAATCTAATCTAAGTATTTTGTTTCAGCTTTCGAAATGGATACGACTGAAGACAATACTGAATCTCAGAGTTTATATTTGGATAATCGAGGTGGGTTCTCATTCTAAGGTTGTTTTTTTAAACTTCAAAATATTTCTCTCACTAGGGGAAGTGTCAGACTCTTACCGACTTAAAACCATTCCGTTCCCCCTCTTGTGCTTGTATCCCACCCGTATATGTACCCGGGGAAAATCGTCAAATGGCTGAAGAACTTTTGACGATTTTCTCCTGTCAAAATTTAATTTATCTGGTTTTACGGGTATTCATCAAGCTTTCCATCAGTTGGTATGTCTGCTCGTTTGCCGAAAAAACGTATTACAAAACTTAGTTAAGTACTAGCTTCCGCCAAAAAGAAGTAAAAAATCATTTATTCCAATTACACATTACAGGCACTTTTGAATGCCAAACAAAATTTTGAAGATATACACCCGGTTTCTGAAAGGCTTGTCAACGTTAAAATTAACTTATCTCCTGTTAAATCTCTTGTCAAGTCATCTGATTGGTTGTTGATAATTCAGTCAACCAATCAGATGACTTGACAATAGATTAAATTGATTTTAACATTGATCGGCCTTTCGTAAACCGGCGGATAGTGTCAGTCTGTCTATCAGTCCTCTTAGTGAAGCTATTTGCTCGTTCCAAAGTGTAGATTCCTATGGTGAAGAACGAGCAAGAAACTTCATGGTTACTCTTTTTAAATGAGTTTCTCATACAGATTCCTTATACAGACACTGTCTCTGACACTCTCTCTCGCCTTACCCTGGGCGGGAGAAGTCATTGGATGATATTCCCCTGACAATAAAAAAGACACGCCCTCAAGCTGTATTAAGTATCACCTATCCTACATACTAAATTTCAACTAAATCAGTTCAGCAGTTTATGCGTGAAAGGATAATAAAGATACATTCTCACAAATTTTCCATATGTATAATATTAATAGGATAATTTGAAAGTATTAAGAACTAGCTCTCGCGCGGTTTCAGTCGCTGCTCGGCTCCATTTAATCGTAGCGTGATGTTTTATAGCCTATAGCACTCAGGATAATTGTAGCTAACTATCAGTGAAAGAATTTTGGAAATCCAACCAGCGGTTCCAAAGATTACCCCCTACATACAAACTTACAAATTTTACCTCTTTATAATATTAGTTAATAATATCATGTTTCATTACAGCATTCGGTGTAAAGAGTCCGACAAGTGAATTGGCGCGTTTGGAACACCGACAGAGCCACAATGTCCAGCTTATGAAGGCGTCCTTATACGCCGACACTGGTATGTATTATATTTTTATACTAGCAGCCCGTCCCCACTTCGTACAAGTCCCTTAAATGTGACCTTTTCTTTGTTAGAGATACCTATAGGTGATCTCTCTAACAACAAGGAAAACTTTTCCAATATTCGTCAATAAGAACCTTCTCCTGACAATAATAAATACAAAACAAAAGCGTTTGGCAAAATTGGTCCAGCCGTTTTTGAGTTATGCGCTTACCAACACATTTTGCTATTCATTTTTATATTATAGATAGACTAGCGGCTCACCCCCGCTTCGCACGGGTCCAACTATCTCGCTAACAACGAAAGGGTCCCTTTTTCTCAATTTTCTTCTCTACTTTTCCAATATTTTCTTTCATAAGCACCTTCTTTTGACAATAATAAATACAAAACAAAAGGGTTTGGCAAAATTGGTCCAGCCATTTTTGAGTAATGCGCTTAACAACACGTTTGGCGATTCATTTTTATATTAGACTAGCGGCTCACCCGCGCTTCTCACGGGTCCAACTATCTCGCTAACAACGAAAGGGTCCCTTTTTCTCAATTTTCTTCTCTACTTTTCCAATATTTTCTTTCATAAGCACCTTCTTTTGACAATAATAAATACAAAACAAAAGGGTTTGGCAAAATTGGTCCAGCCGTTTTTGAGTAATGCGCTTAACAACACGTTTGGCGATTCATTTTTATATTAGACTAGCGGCTCACCCGCGCTTCTCACGGGTCCAACTATCTCGCTAACAACGAAAGGGTCCCTTTTTCTCAATTTTCTTCTCTACTTTTCCAATATTTTCTTTCATAAGCACCTTCTTTTGACAATAATAAATACAAAACAAAAGGGTTTGGCAAAATTGGTCCAGCCGTTTTTGAGTAATGCGCTTAACAACACGTTTGGCGATTCATTTTTATATTAGACTAGCGGCTCACCCGCGCTTCTCACGGGTCCAACTATCTCGCTAACAACGAAAGGGTCCCTTTTTCTCAATTTTCTCCTCTACTTTTCCAATATTTTCTTTCATAAGCACCTTCTTTTGACAATAATAAATACAAAACAAAAGTGTTTGGCAAAATTGGTCCAGCCGTTTTTGAGTTATGCGCTTACCAACACATTTGGCGATTTATTTTGATATTATAGATATATATAGACTAGCGGCCCGCCCCCGCTGCGCACGGGTCCAACTATCTCCCTATCAAAAGGCCACTTTTTCCTAATCCTCACCTCTACTTTTCTAATATTTTCTTTAATAAGAACCTTCTCCTAACAATAATAAATACAAAACAAAAGGGTTTGTCAAAATTGGTCTAGCCGTTTTTGAGTTATGCGCTTACTAAAATATTTTGCTATTCATTTTTGTAGATATTAAGTATATCATATGTGTTGGAGCCACGACCTCACAGAAAACCGACGTGAAACAACCACAGCGTTGTGTTTCGCCGTGTGATTGAGGTTACCGGAGGCCCAATCCTTCCCCTCCCCCAATCCCTAAATCTCCAAATCCCTAATCTCTAAAAGGTCGGCATCGCACTCGTAACTCCTCCGTCGCGGGTGTCCATGGGCGACGTTGATTGCTTACCGTGGGGTAATCCGTCTGCCCGTTTGCCGATCTATTACATAAAAAAATATATACATTGTGTGAAATACGCCCTAAATATCAACCTACGTTCACTAAATCCCCAGAAATGGAAGACGATGCGTCTGTGTCGACTGGGGATCAGTTGGTTCCTGTATCGGTCCCACTACTGTCCGTGCCTACACTGGCGCCCTCTGCAGTCAGGGAGGAACTACCAGTTGTTGAAAGCGAGATGCCGCTCGTTGACGGTAAGTGTTTTAACAATACAATTTTTTATTTATTAATATTATATTGCTTTAGAGTTTGTTTGTTTGTTTGAACTCGCTAATCTCCGGAACTGCTGGTTCTATGGCCTCTCTAGATAAATGGAGTAACTAACATAAAAAGAATACGATAGTTTTCAACTAGTTAAATTTAATTGACTGCACGGTTGGTGCGGCGGCTGGGCAACTTGGCTACCGTGCAACGTGTCGCGGGTTCGATTCCCGCAAGGAACAACACTTTGTGTAATCCACGAATTGTTGTTTCGGGTCTGGATATGATGTGTATGTTTGTAAACGCGCCCACGATACAGGAGAAAATCCTAGTGGGGGGGCAACCTTTTTATAAAATATTATCCAAATGTCAAAAACTATACTTTTCTATGAAGTTTGTATGAAACCCTGAGTTATGACGTCATAGTATTTTTGCGACAAATAGCTTACTTATTTCTTAAAAAATAGCTAACATTTAGGTATTTTTCAATACTTTATTGTATTGAAACGTTTTTTAATTCAATTTAGTTTTGACCTAGGAAACTACCCAATTTTTTGCCATTCGAACCAGTAATTCTAGACATTGTCGCGTTCAAACAAACAAAATCTTCAGCTTTAGTATTAATAACAGTGGGTTTCCCATCGTTCCTATCAAAAATTAAAGTTTTTTTTTCACAGAAATACCGATGAAGCCGCTAATAGTCCAGCCACACACGATCGTCTTGAAGTACCACAGAAAAGTACTGCCTTTCAAACAGACCATCGCAGGTGAGTCCAGTCATTTATAGACATGCATTTGAAATGATGCCAATAGACCACCACAGATGGCGTTATTTTTGTAAGGGGAAAATCATCAAATGACTTCTCTCTGTCAGACGCTTACGGACCAAAAACACCCCTGTTCCTTCTCCTGCTCTGGGCCGAGGTCGCGGTGCCTCATTGCGCTTACCCCGCAGCCCCGGCTGAATATCAGCCCTATAGGGTCCCGTCTGTGGTGGTCTATTGGCTCTTTGAGGCGCGCGCGGAACGCTACGCGCCGTACGCTCGGGCCTGGTTCTGGTCGGGCGGCGAGCTACCCTTACTCCGGAGGCCTAGTCCCTACCTCTCCCCCATCCCTTCCCTTCCCAATCCTTAAATATCCGCAACCCTTATTCCCAAAAGGCCGGCAAAGGACTCGTAACTCCTTTGGTTTTACGAGTATCCATGGGCGGCGCGAATGCTTACCATCAGGTAATCCGTCTGCTTGTTCAACCCTATGTGATATAAAATAACTTTACCTTTTGTATGTAAATCCACTTAGTACACGAGTAGGACAGCGTTTTATATTTAATATACAAGTTATAATATTATTTCTCCCCCCTTCCCCCTACAGGTAGATTAGACGCAGCGTATATATCGGATATGTCCGTATGCCGCGCTCGTCACGCTCGCGTCGGATTCGGCCCCGCCGGCACTCTAGCATTCACAACTTCATACGATTCCGTCAACGATCTACCTAAATGTAAGTTTTTATTAAATAAAATTCATACTTAATATCAGCGTGCGATATGCTTGTTTGGCGCTGTGGCTGGGCAACTGGCTGCCGTGCAACGTGTCGCGGGTTCGATTCCCGCACGGAACAACTCTTTGTGCGATCCACAAATTGTTGTTCCGGGTCTGGGTGTGATGTGTATGTGGGTTTGTATGTTTGTAAACGCACTCACGACACAGGAGAAAATCTTAGTGTGGGGCAATTTTTTTTTAATATATAGGTACAAAGTTTATATAGGTATAATATTTTTCATTTTTAGTTCATAATTATTATTCTTTTTTTGTATTTTTAATTATTATTATTTGCTTTTTGCTATAGTAATCTTATTATGCATACAATGTTTACGTGTAGTGTTTAACTAAAAACAAGAATTGACAATTCAAATAAATAAAATATACAATTTCTTTCGTCCACAGCGGCTGACCTCTCAGAGCTAGGCAGATACGTGCGCGGCCGGGCCAGCAACGACTGGTCGGAGCCCGTACTCGTTAGAATGGCCATTGGACAATCAGATAAAGACGATGGGATGATGGTAAGTGTCCATATATACTCATAATATGACTCTAAGTAAGCTAATGCGGCTCCTTAGCTTCCCTGTTCGGTTCTCCTGACCCCGCGCTGACCTCGGCGTTTGCGAATGGCGCGAAATTCAAATTTTACACATTGAGTGAAAAGTATAGGTTTGCGCGACGCGGTAAGCGCGCGGGTGTAGTGGGCGGAGCTATCTAAACTCAAAATTTTCGCGGTGCGGTCTTAATTGGGAAACATTATTGCAAAAAATAACAAAAAAAATACTTACAAATAAATACTTTGTAAAAGTTATGCTTAAGTGTAAATCTGAAAACAAATGATTGAAAAACGAGAAACAATGCAAAGATCAGCGAAATGTAAAGCAAAAATTAACAACAATTTGTGGATCCGGTATCCACAAATTGTTGTTCCAGGTCTGGGTGTGATGTGTATGTAAAATTGTATTTTTGTAAACGCACTCACGACACAGGAGAACATACTAGTGTGGGGCTATGTTTTACTTTATATCAAATTTTAAAAAGTTTTTCAATATTTTATTATTATTTTGTATGCCCGGTTTCCATTCACTCTTTGGAAGGCTGATGTGGTGTAATCTGTGATCACCAGGATCGGAGTAGTGATTTTTGGTACTTGTATCATAAATGCACACAGAAAAAATAACAAGGATAAGACATTTTCCCGGAAAGTAATTCCGATATTTCCGGATTCAATTAAATACTGTTTTTTTTTAATAATTAAATCCTTCATTAATTTTAACAAAAAGTTTACAATATATAAACCCACCAAACTGTTAAGACAGTTTGGCGGCGGGAATAGCACTCGTTGTTAATGTTAATTGTGATATTATTCCTACTGAATTCAAATTTAAAGGAAGGTATAAAAACTAAATAAATTGTATTTCTTGAATAATAAAAACAATCGAATTCCGATCGAAGCTTTAATAAAATTTTTTTGTAGTTTTAGCCTCCTATGGCTAGAACTTTTATAGATATACATAAATTGTTACACTTAAATTTAAATATTTTAATAGTGGTCATCAAAAAAATATGAAGAATAATATTGCTCATTTTATTACAATTCCTACCTGTTTTTGAGGATGGCAAGTCATCAAATGACTCCTTCCACTCTGGCAGAATAAAATGCCTACACAAGTTCCGATTCTTTTCAATAATCCACCAATTCCGGAGGAATGTCCTTATTAATATATACGTTTCGGTTCAATGACCCCATTTCAATCTACCTACTCCGATCACTGGTTCAAAGAGCCAATAGACCATTACAGACGGGCCCCTATAGGGCTAATAATCAGCCGGGGTAGCGGGGTAAGCGCAATGAGGCACCGCGACCTCGGTCCAGAGCAGGAGAAGGAACGGGGGGTTTTTAGTCAGTAAGAGTCTGACACTCCCTCCCGCACGGCCCTGGGCGGGAGAAGTCATTTGAAGATTTTCCCCTCACAAAAAAAAACTCCGATCACTGGTGATTGCATACTGCATATATGTAGTGCATCACGTATTGATAATGTTAAGATGACTAGACAATAGGAATTCATCGTACAGAAGGTATTAATACGATAAGCAGTCTTACACCGTGTATAAATAGAATAAAGCGATCACTTCTTGCTAGGTAGGGGCCATCCATTCAGTGCGTCACATGAATTTCATGATGTTTTCTTAAATATTGAAAAATAACTATACTTTCATTCATCGATCGATCGATACGCTAAGTTTGAGATTTTTTGGCAAATTTTTAAGAAATAAGTTATTTGACGCATAAATATTATGACGTCATAACTCAGTTTTTCAAACAAGTTTCACAGAATAGTATAGTCTTCGGCATTTGAATAAAAGTATTGAATTTGACTAGTTGGAAATTACCGTATTAACATGTGTAATTGTATACTTATTTTGCCAACAGGATGTACTGAAGAAACACTTAGAAACGTTACTGGAATACTCGTCACTGACTGAGGTGGATGAAAATCAGTGTCCTCAACTCAGACTATCACAGAGTCCACGCGACAGACGCGCCGTACTTTCGCAGTACCTCAAAGACTCCGCCAAAGTACTGACTAGACATAAGGTAAGTCTTACAAAAGTGTGGGAGCTTCGGCAACGAATGGGTCGGCTCGAACATGGAAGCATGGCCCTCTCACATTTAAAAACTAGTTTTTTTTGGCACACACAGAAAACAAAAATACAAAAAAAGAAGAAAATGACTTTACTAATAATCTAAACTAAATGATACAAATAATAGGATTTTAAGTGTGGGAGAGCCATGCTTCGTCACGAATGGGTCGGCTCGACCGGAGTGATACCACGGCCTCACAGAAAACCGGCGTGAAAGAACTACAGCGTTGTGTTTCGCCGTGTGACTGAGGTTACCGGTGGCCCAATCCTTCCTCTCCCCGAATCCAACCTCAATCCCTAAATCTCCAAATCCCTAATCCCTAAAAGGTCGGCAACGCACTCGTAACTCCTCCGTTGCGAGTGTCCATGGGCGGCGCTGATTGCTTACCATCACGTTATCCGTCTGCTTGTTTGCCGACCTATTACATAAAAAAGCTACCTACTCAAAATAAATTAATAACAGCAAAAAAAAAGAAAACTTTTGTCTATGGTCCACAGAGTATATATATAACATTATGCGCGAGGTCGCGTGTAATTTTTTCATTATCTTTGGACCATAAGGACAAGGAGGTAACATTTGTAACAAACTATAATAACAATATTCGACTGCACGGTTGGTGCGGTGGCTGGTCAACTGGCTGCCGTGCAACGTGTCGCGGGTTCGATTTCCGCACGGAACCACTCTTTGTGTGTATGTGAATTTGTATGTTTGTAAACACACCCACTACATAGGAGAACATCCTAGTGTGTGGCAACGTTTTATTTAAAAAAATAATAATAATAATATGCGTGTTAACAGTTTGGCGTGTCCGGGGCCTACTGTAACGAAGTTTGGCGACTTTGTGACGCTCTATGGGGGGCCGATCTCGATAATGATGGTGAGTTTTACCATATATCTATACTCTAATATTATAAAGAGGTAAAATTTGTAAGTTTGTATGTAGGGGGTAATATTTGAAACCGCGGGTTGGATTGCTAAAATTACGCTTACACTGATAAATAGCTACAATGTTCCTGAGTGCTATAGGTTATAAAACATCACGCTACGATCAAATGGAGCCGAGTAGCGGGTGAAACCGAGAATAGCTAGTATGTATAAAAACCTTCAAGAGACGAGCGTACTCCTTCTTAAAAGGCCGGCAACGCACCTGTAACTCCTCTGGTATTACAGGTGTCCATGGGCGGCGCTGATCGCTTACCATCAGGTGATCCGGCTGCTCGTTTGCCTCCTATTCCATAAAAATAAATATTTATATATTACTAGCGGCCAGCCCCCGCTTCGCACGGGTCCAACTATCTCGCTATCAAAAGGTCACTTTTTCCTAATCTTCCCCTCATTTCTGATACTTTCTTTGATAAGAACCTTCTCCTGACAATAACAAAAAAAGAATTAGCAAAATTGGTCCAGGCGTTGTTGAGTTATGCGCTTACCAACACATTTTACGATCCATTTTTATATATAAAGATTCTCATAATGGGTTTTTTTGTGAGGGGAAATCATCAAATGACTTCTCCCGCCCAGGGCCGAGCTGGAGGGAGTGTCACTCTTACTGACTAAAAACCCCTCTGTTCCTTCTCCTGCTCTGGGCCGAGGCCGCGGTGCCTCATTGCGCTTACCCCGCAGGTGAGAGAGATGCAGTGTACTTTTTTAATTAATATGTGGTTTTATGTACTATGTGCCAAATAATTATTTTTTATATTATATTTTAGAAAGAAAAATATTTATTTGGCACACAGTACATAAAACCACATATTAATTAAAAAGTACACTGCATCTCTCTCACCTACGCCAAATTGGTCCAGTTCAGCAAAAAATGTGAGACAACTACGTTGCCGGACGATGGTTTTCAACTGAAACCTAAGTCCGGTTTCCGAAAGCCCGATCAATGTTAAAATCAACTAACTAGGTGTCAAATCTCTTGTCAAGTCATCTGATTGGTTGTTGATAATTCAGTCAACCAATCAGATGACTTGACAAGAGATTGAATTGATTTTAACATTGATCGGCCTTTCGGAAACCGGGTGTCAGTGAACGGATGCATTCTATTCTGTATTGTTCCAGGTGTACCAGGCACGGATCCTCTGTCGATAGTGAACAGGCATCGTCAGTTTTTGGACTGGTTGAAGACAGCTGTAGCTGAAGCCACTGACGAGGATCTGTCTAAACCAACCTCCGGGGAGAAGGAAGATGGTAAGTTTATACATAAACCTCCCCTCCCCCAAATCTCAAAATCTCCAAATCCCTAATGGGGGATTAGGTCGGCAACGCAATCGTAGCTCCTTTGATGTTGAGGGTGTCTACAAGTGGCACTGATTGCTTACCATCAGGTAACTCGTGGTGTGACAATGTGTGGAAGAGGTCCCAAGTTTCGTGATATCGTGTAGTAAGTAGTAGTGATATACCGAAAACCGGCGTGAAACAACGACAGCGTCGTTGTGTTTCGTCGTGTAAGTGAGTTACGGAGGCCCTATCCCTCCCCTTTCCCCATCCCTTACCAATCCTTAATTATCAGAAACCCTTATACCCTAAAAGACAGACAGTTGCTGTTGGGCGGCGCCGATTGCTTATAATCAGGATTTCGATCAGCTCCTTTGCCGACCTACTCCATATAAAAAAATCTCGCGTTATCACCTGCGACAATGGATCAGAGACGGAAGGTTTAAAAAATCATAACGTACTTTATGGATGGCCCCTTTAATACCATAATTGTATTTTTTCCACAGAATCAGACGGGCACAGCGTTCGAATATGGACTCTCCTCCTCGGTGGCCGGATCCTGGAGGCTTGTAAGGTGGCCAAGGAACACGGAGATCTGAATATGGCCATTCTTCTGTCACAAGCTGCCGGTGAGTTTCAGATTTTCTTCATTTAATCAACACTAGCTTTAGCCCGCGTCGTCGCCCGCGTGGTATGTTGATAAAATGTAGCCTATGTCCTATTCCGGAGTGTATCCTTTGCTTGTGACAAATTACATCTAGATCTGTCCAGATCGAAAAAATAACTTTCGCATTTATAATCTATACTAATTTTATAAAGAGGTAAAATTTGTAAGTTTGTATGTAGGGGGTAATCTTTGGAACCGCTGGTCGGATTGCCAAAATTCTTGTTCCTGAGTGCTATAAAACATCACGCTACGATTTAATGGAGCCGAGCAGCGGGTGAAACCGCGCGACAGTGGCTAGTGACTATTGTGACTAATATTTTTAATTTTTTCTACAGGCGATCCATCATTCCGTTCTCTGATCAGTCGCCAGCTGTCTCAGTGGCGTGAATGTGGGGCTGACTCCCTGATATCATCCCACCGGTGGGCTACCCTACTCCTAGTTGCTGGACTCTCAACTCCACGCGACAAACTCATTGAGACCGACTGGCTGAGAGCTCTGCATTGCACTGCTAGGTAAGATTTATAACAGACTAGCTCTTACCCGCGGCTTGGCAACCGTCATTTGACTACCTACAGTACGGCCGACGTATCTTGGCGAGTCTGAAGTTAGCCGTTTGTCTGCGCAATGGATCTTCTAGGAACAAAATTGTGTACTGCGCAGCTACTCGGCTAACTTCAGACTCGCCAAGATACGTCGGCGGTGTTGTACACTACTCTATCTACCCTATTTTACCTACCGTACTCTACCTACACCGCTCTATCTGCCCTACTCTACCTACACTACTCTACCTACCCTACTCTACCTACCCTACTCTACCTATCCTATTCCACCTACCCTATTCTACCTACCCTACTCTACCTACCCTACTCTACCTACCCTACTCTACCTATCCTATTCCACCTACCCTATTCTACCTACCCTACTCTACCTACCCTACTCTACCTACCCTACTCTACCTATCCTATTCCACCTACCCTATTCTACCTACCCAACTCTACCTACCCTACTCTACCTACCCTACTCTACCTATCCTATTCCACCTACCCTATTCTACCTACCCTACTCTATCTACCCTATTCTACCTACCCTACTCTACCTACCCTACTCTACCTACCCTACTCTACCTACCCTACTCTACCTATCCTATTCCACCTACCCTATTCTACCTACCCTACTCTACCTACCCTACTCTACCTACCCTACTCTACCTATCCTATTCCACCTACCCTACTCTACCTACCCTACTCTACCTACCCTACTCTACCTACCCTACTCTACCTATCCTATTCTACCTACCCTATTCTACCTACCCTACTCTACCTACCCTACTCTACCTACCCTACTCTACCTACCCTACTCTACCTACCCTATTCTACCTACCCTACTCTACCTACCCTACTCTACCTACCCTACTCTACCTACCCTATTCTACCTACCCTATTCTACCTACCCTATTCTACCTACCCTATTCTACCTACCCTACTCTACCTACCCTACTCTACCTACCCTACTCTACCTACCCTATTCTACCTACCCTATTCTACCTACCCTATTCTACCTACCCTACTCTACCTACCCTACTCTACCTACCCTATTCTACCTACCCTATTCTACCTACCCTACTCTACCTACCCTACTCTACCTACCCTATTCTACCTACCCTATTCTACCTACCCTATTCTACCTACCCTATTCTACCTACCCTATTCTACCTACCCTATTCTACCTACCCTATTCTACCTACCCTATTCTACCTACCCTACTCTACCTACCCTACACTACCTTCCCTACACTACCTACTCTATCCTATGTCCTTCTCCTAGTTCTTAGCTACCTCCCTACGAATTTTCAGCTAAATCGGTTTAGCCGTTCTTGAGTTCTTTTATGTAGATTAATCTAGTGATTGAGAGCCATGCTTTGGCACGAATGGGTCGGCTCGACCGGAGTGATACCACGGACTCACTGAAAACCGGCGTGACACAAGCGTTATATTACGCCATGTGAGTAAGGTTAACGGGGCCCAAACCTTCTCCTTCCCCAATTTCTCCTCAATCTCCTTATCCCTAAAAGGTCGGCTACGCACTCGTAACACCTCCGTTGCGAGTGTCGATGGGCGGCGCTGATATATGGTAATCCGTCTGCTCGCTTGCCGATCTACATAAAATAAAATAAAATAGTGTATATATTCACCCCATTTTACCGTATTTTGTCAAATATAATGCTTGTCTTGTTAATAATTCAATGTTTTTCGTCCTCAGATACCTCTGCCCTCACGTGCCCTCCCTCGAGCAGGTGCTGCGTACATACGAGGGATTCTTCTACCCCTCGTCTGAGGAGCAGGACCCTGATCTCTCCGTCATAGAGGCGGATGAGATGTCGATGCAACTACCCTTACCTCCATATGTTAACCAGTATGATGTGACCGTTGTCAACGTAAGTTATTTTTTTATTTATATATTAGCTTTTATACCCAGCTTCTCTCCCATAATAATTTGACTCAAATCAAAGTCGAAATCATTTATTCCAACTTCAAACCATGAATAGGTACTTTTGAAACGTCAAAATAGAATAGTAGTCTGTCAGTCTGTTCGTCAGTGAAGCTAGGTGCCTGTCTACACTACCCTAGTCTAGATTCCTTTTTTTTATGTATTAGGTCGGCAAACGAGCAGACGGATTACCTGATGGTAAGCAATCAACGCCGCCCATGGACACTCGCAACACCGGAGGAGTTACGAGTGCGTTGCCGACCTTTTAGGGATCAGAGATTGAGGAGGGATTGGGGGAGGAGAAGGTAACCTCACTCACAGGGCAAAACACAACGCTGTGGTTGTTTCACGCCGGTTTTTTGTGAGGCCGTGGTATCACTCCGGTTGAGCCGACCCATTCGCGCTCAAGCACGGCTCTCCTACAATTAACATATATGATACTAGCTACTCTCGCGCGATTTCACCCGCTGCTTCATTTAATCGTAGCGTGATGTTTTATAACCTATAGCACTCAGGAACATTGTAGCTATCTATCAGTGAAAGAATTTTGGAAATCCAACCAGCGGTTCCAAAGATTACCCCCTACATACAAACTTACAAATTTTACCTCTTTATAATATTAGTATAGATGTATGTTTACATAATTATAATAATATTGTGTTTATCTTCTATCAACAGAATGGAAAACAGCGTCGCGTGCTCGACCTTCGTTATGAGTTGATAAGGGCGCGCGCCCTCAACATTCGTCCCAAACTTCGGCCCGCATCATACACCCCGGACCCCATGGACTACAGCTTGTGGTGAGTCGCAATCATCATCATCATCATCAGCCTATAAGTGCCCACTGCTGAGCAAAGGCCTCTTCTCACACGGAGACAGTTTGAGCATTAACCACCACGCTTGCTCAAGGCGGTTTGGCGATTTCAAATTTTATTTTTATTATTACTTTCGTGAGACATTCTTAATTAATTATTATGTTTTCGGCTTATTCACGTAATAATTTGACGACACACGACTCTGCGACTGTCGCTTTGCTACACAGCCCGACAGTCGCAGAGTCGCGTGTCGCGGAATGTTGCTCATGAATATTGGCCTCTAGCAGGGCTTGAAACTAGTCGAGTATCTCGTCAAATTATTACGTGAGTAAGCCGAAAACATAAAAATTGATTTCAAACTTATTTAATTAGAAATTATAAGTCCAGGTTTCCTCACGATGTTTTTCCTTCACCGTATGTCAGTGGTGTCTAAATAATCACAGAAAGTACATATAACTGGGAAAATTTCACATTTTTTACTTGATTTATATCTCCAGGCTACCACGACATCAAATCCTAATACGCCAGTTTTCATCTAGTCAAATTCAAATAGAATTTCAAAAAGAATTTTGGCGCTCCGACCAGCCGTTCCAAAGATTACCCCCTACATACAAACTTGCACATTTAACCTCTTTATAATATTAGAATAGATCTATAAATTAATTTCGTTACAGTTTCCTACTGGGCACGTGGTTTGGCAATCCAGATATTGCCAGTATAACTGGAATAGCTGAACAACTCGAGGCGGCCGGACATTGGCACCTAGCTGTATTAACGCTTGCCTACCATCCCGACCAGACCGCGTGAGTATTTTTGTACATAAATTACTAGTTTGAGCCCGCGGCTTTGTCCCTTATTGTGGATAAAAAGTAGCCTTGTGTTATCCACGGTATCAACTATCTTAAGTTCAGTTGAAATAAAAGAATGAGTTGAGTTGAAATGTGACTAGGAGTTTTATTATAATTAATACAGTAATGCGCTACACAGAGATATTGCAAAATGGAGTGTGTGTTAACAATTTAATTAAAATTACATTGTCTTGTGGTAACGTCAAGATCAAAGTGCGCAGTTACATTGGTCGTATGTAGGGGCGCAGTGTTGAAGCGCATCGGTTGTGTACCTCGCTACCTGGCCCCGCGTCCATCCGCCTCCGCTCAGCCGCGGCCGCCAGTGTATTATAGATAATCTTGTCTATTATAGATTAATATTAACCTTAAACTCAATTAGGCATCGCAGCTTCGGCTTAGAACAGGAGAAGGAACGGGATGTTTTTAGTCAGTAAGAGTCTGACACCGGGCGGGAGAAGTCCTTTGATGATTTTCCCCTCAAAAAAGGGTATCTTGGTATAACTATATACATAACAAATTCCAACCAAATCGGACCATTCGTTTTATAAAACTTTCATCATCATCATCATCATCAGCCTATAAGTGCCCACTGCTAAGCAAAGGCTTCTTCTCACACGGAGAAGGTTTTAGTATTAATCACCACGCTTGCTCAATGCGATATAAAACTATAACATTTATAATATTAGTAGGATTACTCGTAACTCCTGGCGTGGCCTGCGTGAAAGGTAGTCTTTTTCCTTCTCCATGGGTCTGCGGTCGGCGAGCAAGAATAGGTCGCCGCCCGATCAGAACCAGACTCGAGCCTCAAAGTTATGGCTCTTTGAGGCGCGGCGTACGCCATTCGACCACCACAGACCGGGCCCTATAGGGCTGATGTTCAGCCGGGGTGGAGGGGTAAGCGCAATGAGGCACCGCGACCTCGGCAGAGTAGGAGAAGGAACAGGGGGGTTTTTAGTCAGTAAGAGTCTGACACTCTCTATCACCTCACACTGAACGCGAGAAGCCATTTGGTGATTTTAACGCCTCAAAATAAAACTTTAGACTTTATTTTTTATTTTTAAACGATTCTTTGTCCTCAGCCGCGGTCACCTAATACGCGCCGTATTATCACGCCACGCCCCCGCCAAAGCGGAGTCAGCGGAGATGAAGGCTCGTCTAGAATTAATTAGAAGACTGAAAGTACCTGAAAAATGGTTGTTATTGGCACAAGCACATCGGGCTAAATATGAGGTAAGTTTTATTGAAAAATTATAAATTATATTAAACTAGTTTGTGCCTCCAGCTTTGTTCGTAGTCTTAGAGTAAAAACTAGCATATATGTTATTCTAGACTATAATCTATCTCTGTGCCAAATTACATTCGGATCCGTTGAGTAGTGTACTAGTGTTCACGTGAAAGAGTAACAAAAAAAAATTTTTGTAGGATTATTATTAAATTAATACAGTAAGTATATTAATCATTAGCAATGCTTTCAATTTGATTTTAAATCTGTGTAAAGTGTTATATTTGTTTTCGGTTTTTGTATATCTGAAATTGGTTAAATTCCTAGAGCAAATATACTTAAATAGTTTGATAGTATATATACCTACTAAACATTATAATACCTACGGTAGTTTCCAACTTTACTCGGAATTTTAATTCCATTCCAGATTTGACAATTTCAGTGTTGCAACGTTATGACACGTAATAAATAGTGACGTTGCGAAATTATTCGATATGGAAATCGAATATTTCTGAATCGATTCCTTTCGTTTATAAATTTACTCTCTTAAACTAAGTTTATCAGGAAATAAAATATTTCTGAACCGATAATTTAGTTTTGACAATTAATTAACGATCTGAGACTTTTCTTTTGTAATTGTGTGTGTAATTAATAAAAAATGTGATCATGAAGGAACGGGACAAATAAAACAGACATTTTACAAATTGTCGCCGTCATCGCTATCGCTATCGCCGTTACTCTATGTAACATTTATAATGAATTGTGTCTTTGATATTTATTGTCAATTAACATATCTAGCTTACTAATTTTTTCCTCTTCTTTGAAAACATGGGATACACATTTGGGCCATTCGGTAGCCGTAATTTTTTGAATGCCTTCCTGAAACTGATTCACTGATTGTTTATCGATTTTTGTGTTCATCACTACACTGTTATATGTGGTATCATTATTTCACAAAATGACTGTGGTCAATGTCAAATCAGGAATCGAATTAAAAGTCTGACTATAGTCAAATTCAATACTTTTATCCAAATGTCAAAAACTATACTTTTCTATGAAGTTTGTATGAAAAACTGAGTTATGATGTCATAGTATTTTTGCGTCAAATAGCTTACTTATTTCTTAATAATTATCTAAAAAATACCTAAAACTTTGTGTATCGATCGATCGATGAATAAAAGTATAGTTATTTTAAAATATTTTATTGCATTTAAACATTGAATTAATTTATTTTTGACCTAGAAAACTACACAATTGCTTAGCATGACCTCTGACGACTTGTTTCAGCGTCTCCCTGCAGTGGAAGCGGAGCATCTAGCTGGGGCTGGACATTGGAACGCGGCCCACAAGGTTCTCATAGAGGAATTATTACCGGAGGCCGTACTAGCTGGTAAATATATTAACAAACTATTTTTAACATCGTACTGTCGTGGTCGTGGTTGCCCGGAGGTTAAGGAGGGTTCGAAACCTGATAAGTACCAATATGACTGTTTCCGAGTTATATGTACTTTCTATGATTATTTAGACACCATTGACATACGGTGAAGGTAAACATCGTGAGGAAACTCTGACTTATAATTTCTAATTATAAGTTTGATATCGCCAATCCGCCTTGAGCTAGCGTGGTGATTAATGCTCTAACCTTCTCAGTGTGAGAAGAGGCCTTTGCTCAGCAGTGGGCACTTATAGGCTGATGATGATGATTTTATACTTCAACGTTTGTATAGGGTTAGCGGTAATAAGCGACAGTTATTTAAACTATAACAAAATGACGCGCGTGTCCCTCGTCTATTAAAGCTCCTTCCTTTCCTCACAGAAAACCGGCGTGAAACAACCATAGCGTTGTGTTTCGCCGTGTGAGTGAGGTTACCGGAAACCCAATCCTTCCCCTCCCCCAATCCCTCCTAAATCCCTAAATCTCCAAATCCCTAATCCCTAAAAGGTCGGCAACGCACTCGTAACTGCTCTGTTGCGAGTGTCCATGGGCGGCGCTGATTGCTTACCATCAGGTAATACGTCTGCTCGTTTGCCGACCTATTACATAAATAAAAAAAAAGCTAATCCGGCGACGCACGGCGGTCGCGCGAAGTTTGTGTAAGTGTAGGGAAACATGATGACACACACGAAAACTTGTGTGAGCGTGAAGTTTGCGAGGCACGGACAGTGAACGCACTGGTCCGACTGAACGGTTCTGCCTAGGGTTTAAGCGAAATATACCCGGGGTATCCTAACACCGTGTTTCACTCAACCCCCTGCGCCACACGACCAGAAGAGGCAGTGCTCAATTAGGGATCTCACCTAACTACGACCCCTAAATAAGCAATAATAAAGATAATGAGTATAGAAAATAGTTCCTTTGGGAAAGTTTTTTGTTATCATAATGAAATAATATTGAGTCAGAACGTAGTTTGCCGGGTCAGCTACTTTTCTTTTTTTTTTGGTAGGAATAGGTCGGCAAACGGGCAGAGTTAACCTGATGGTAAGCAATTAGCGCCGCCCATAGACAACCGCAACACCAAAGGAGTTACGAGTTAGTTGCTGGCCTTTTAGTGATTCGGAAATTTAAGGATTGGGAAGGGATGGGGGGAAGGCGAGGGTTCGGGCCAACGATAACCTCACTCACACAACGCTGTGGTTGTTTCACGCCGGTTTTCTGGGAGACTGTTGTATCACTCCGGTCGAGCCGACCCATTCGTGCCGAAGCATGGCTCTCCCATACTTGCAATAAGTTTTATATGTCTCACGATAGTTAGGTATTATATATTATATACTAGCTACTCTCACGCGGTTTCACCCGCTGCTCAGCTCCATTTGATCGTAGTGTGATATTTTATAGCCTATAGCACTCAGGAACATTGTAGCTATCTATCAGTGAAATAATTTTGGCAATCCGACCAACGGTTCCAAAGATTACCCCCTACATACAAATTTACAAATTTTACCTCTTTATAATATTAGTATAGAAGTATATATTTTATATTTTTTTCACAGATGATCTGCAGAGCATATCCCCCTTACTGGAACGGATGCACGAAGCTGCTCAACGCAGCGAGGTGGCTGGATGGGAGACTGGGGGCCAGGCAATACATCATTACCTTCATGTTTGTGATGAGGTACGTCCTTATATATATATATTCTAGGGAATTCGAATATTCTAATTTCGAGTATTTATTATAAGGGCTAATTTTTCAATTGTTAAATTAGACTGCACGGTTGGCGCGGTGGCTGGACAACTGGCTGCCGCGCAACGTGTCGCGGGTTCGATTCCCGCACGGAACAACTCTTTGTGTGATCCACAGATTGTTGTTCCGTTGGTCTGGGTGTGATGTGCATGTGAAATTTTATGTTTGTAAACGCACCCACGACACAGGAGAAAATCCTAATGTGGGGTTTTTTTATAAAAAAATAAAGAAAGTTAGCTGGGGAATAATTATGATGCTGTTGACGTCCAGCTCCGCGTCGACGTGACCCCTCACAGCGTAAGGCACCGACCTCGCACCTTCCCGCTACCGGAGCGTTGCCTTGCTGCGTCCCTCGCTAATCAATTCAAAGTCAAAATCATTTTTTTTATGTAGTAGTTCGCCAAACGAGCAGACGGATAACCTGATGGTAAGCAATCAGCGCCGCCCATGGACACCCGCAACGGAGGAGTTACGAGTGCGTTGTCGACCTTTTAGGGATTAGGGATCTGGAGATTTAGGAACTGAGGAGGGATTGGGAAGGGGAAGGATTGGGCCTCCGGTAACCTCACTCACACGGTGAAACACAACGCTGTGGTTGTTTCACGCCGGTTGTCTGTGAAGCCGTGGTATCACTCCGGTCGAGCCGACCCATTCGGGCCGAAGCATGGCTATCCCACATTTATTTCGATTAGACCCATACAGATACTTTTGAACGTCAAACAAAATTTTAAACATATAAAGTGTCAGTATGTCGGTCAGTCCTCGTAGTGAAGCTATTTGCTCGGTCCAAAGTGTAGATTCCTATGGAGAAGAACGAGCAAGAAACTCCATGGTTACTCTTTTTAAATCAGTTTCACATAAAGATTCTTTGATACATTATTTAGTTGATTTGATTATGTGAGAACAGTGTAACGCTAATATACAGAGAAACATAAAAGAAAATTAACTAAAGGACAATAAACAGTCCGGAGCTGACCAGTCCCAATTAACACGTAAACATGACACGTACACCAGCATGGCCCAACTCAACCATAATATAGGGAATTAAGCGATCCAGTGACCGTGCCACCGCCAATGTGACCTTTAAGTGAGCATGACAACTCCAAGCTGACATTGAAACAATGAATTTATTTTTGCAAATAAGCCATAAAACGGCACTTTTACACGTCAATTTATATGTGAAAAACTAGATGAAGCCGGCATTTCCTATCTGACTACTCTGAGAAGAAATGCCGAAACAAACTCAGAGGTCAGTCTCTTTTCAAGTCCACACAATGTAAAAATAACATAATGTGAGAGAACCGTGCAAGTTCATTCTGTAGTGGTCTTTTGATGAAAGAACCCCACCAGTTTAAGTGGACCCGTTCTAAAGACAGGCACGCAAGTGTCAGTTTGCAACCAGTATAGCTAGTGCTGCTGAGTTACTAACTAATTATAATAGGTTACAGGGCACTCACATTTACAAATTTATCAAGTTTAACAATAAGAATGGCATGGTTACAAATTTACAAAATCTAAAAAGTTCCTTTCAAACAAAGGTCGACTGGAACATTATTTATTTTCGTATAGGTATAATAGGTAATTTTTTATACCTGTTCAACAAACAATCGACATCGTATCAGACGTTTTGTATACACTATGGTTGGTCTGCCTGGGCTGAGCACCGCCGTGTACTCAGGGAAGTGATCGGCGGCGACCTCTCGCGCCCGGCCTTAGTCGAGGCCATGGTGCGGAGCGAGAGGGACTGGGACGCCGTCTCCTCCTTCTGTGAAGCAGTTATGCTCGCAAAGAGGGAGGCGGCCCGCGTGAGAGAGCAATCCTCCTCCTCACGCCCCAGCCGCCGCAATAGGCGACACTACGGGCGTCGGGGATCAAGGGACGATCTCCGGCCACCGTAAGCGCGGGTCTGCGGTCGGCGAGTAAGGGCAGCTCGCCGCCCGACCAGAACCAGGCCCGAGCGTACGGCGCGTAGCGTTCCGAGCGCGTCTCAAAGAGCCATTAGACCACCACAGACGGGGCCCTATAGGGCTGATGTTCAGCCGGGGTTGCGGGGTAAGCGCAATGAGGCACAGCGGCCTCGGCCCAGAGCAGGAGAAGGAACGGGGGGTTTTTAGTCAGTAAGAGTCTGACACTCCCTCCCTGCGGCCGGCCCTGGGCGGGAGAAGTGAATTGATGATTTTCCCCTCACAAAAAAAAAATGGTTGATCTCTTGTTGAAATGGAGGTATTTTAATACCTAATTTCGTTAAACATTGCCTGCCGAATAAGGAAGTCCTCCCCGTCTTATCACAGACAGTTCTATAGTCAGAATTTTAATTCGATTCCTGATTTGACATGACCTTCTGTCGTTTTGTGAAATAATGATACCACATATAACAGTGTAGTGATGAACACAAAAATCGATAAACAATCAGTGAATCAGTTTCAGGAAGGCATTCAAAAACGGCTACCGAATGGTCTAAATGCGTATCCCATGTTGTCAAAGAAGAGGAAAAAATAAGTACCTAAGCTAGATATGTTAATTGAGAATAAAAATCACAGACACAATTCATAATAAATGTTACAGAAAGTAACAGCGATAGCGATAGCGATGACGGCGACAATTTATAAAATTTCCGTTTATTTGTCATGTTCCTTCATGATCACATTTTTATTAATTTCACACACAATTACAAAAGAAAAGTCTCAGATCGTTAATTAATTGTCAAAACTAAATTATCGGTTCAGAAATATTTTATTTCCTGATAAACTTAGTTTACGAGAGTAAATAATTTATAAACGAGAGGAATCGATTCAGAAATATTCGATTTCCACATCGAATAATTTCGCAACGTCACTATTTATTACGTGTCATAACGTTGCAACACTGAAATTGTCAAATCTGGAATGGAGTTAAAATTCCGAGTATAGATATTTTATTTTGCCTTAGTATTAAACTTTCGGTCTTATAACCCGTAGTGGTCTTATATTGCTAAGATCATCAACTCGACTAGTTTCAAGCCATGCTAGAGGCCCATACTCGTGAGTAGCATTCCGCGACACGAATGGCTTGAAACTAGTCGAGTATCTCGTCGAATTATTACGTGAGTAAGCCGAAGACGTAATAATTTTAATTAAGAATGTCTCACGACACGATGTAGGCTTATTTATACACGATCTTAATAACTAATTCTTTATGTAGAGATTACATAGTATTTATCTATTTTTATAAGCTTACAAATGATTTTGTTTCCAATTTCTAGATTCGGGGTCTCGTGTCTGCCGCTGAGGCGGGCGGGGAGCGATCGGCCGTAGCGGCGAGACTCGAGGCTTTGAGGCCCCGCGTCGCCGCCGCATGCAGGTCGCTCGGTGGACTACAAGCCAAGTGAGTGCATTGTGTATATATATAGTGTATTGTGTAGCCATGTCTGCATAGTGTACTAACCGGACCCCACCACCTCCGCAGGAGCCCCGGCGTCCGGCTGGCTCGCGCCGAGATGGGCGGCCGGCTGGTGCAGTGCACCCTGGTGGCCGGGGAGCCCCCCGCGCACCTGGCCGCGCTCCTGCGCGCGCTCAAACTGCCCCCTGATACCACGCACGCCGCCGTACGCAAGGTCTGCACTCACTATTGCTAATCATTTTATTTCTCTATTACCTAACATTAACTATTCAAATATTCCTTTTCAGATAACTTCAGTGATAGCTACGAGAGCAGCGGACTCGTGTGGAAACTTGCCCAGTCCGCCGGCTGCGGCGAGCTGATTCAATCCCGAATTGCTAAAATACAATCTATACGAAGCATCCAGGATACTGTCCCACGACACGAGGCGGGCAGCCGTTGCGTTGTCATCTCCTCCCCCACTAACCCCAATCCCCAATCCCCAAATCTCCAATCCACTTATCCCTATCACTTGTAACTCTTTTGGTGGTGATTGCTTACCATCAGTCTGCTTAACCTATAAAAGAAACATCATCTTCAATCCACTGTTCGTTACAATCTCCACTTGGGGGGTGGAGATCTCAGTTTAAAAGGTTCAGGTTTATCAGAGATCGCTGCTGGCTCTCTCTCTCTCTCTGGCAGTCGGTGAGGGTACCCGCGCGAAGAGTTGCGGTGGTGATGTGTGTATTGTAATCTGGCGTCACACGGCTGAATGCTAGTGTAGGGTGTCTGAAATAGATGTAGGCATACAAGTGAGTGCTAGGCCACGTTGTACAGTCGATGTAATTGTTTATTTAATACATAGGACATGCTTTTGTAAGAGTCTAAACGAATATCTTGGTAAACGATCACTTTTCTAGCTTTTATAATCTATCTCTGTGCCAAATTACATTCAGATCAGATTAAGTATGATCGACTGGTCTCCCGGGTCGGTCAAAGTGTTATTGTGACCTCTTTAACCGACTACTTTACAAAAAGGGTAATGTTTTTACGCCAAACGATAATCGTTCAGACTCATAGACTTAGAATTGAATAGTTTATTGTTAAGACATTAAAATATAAGTGGTTTTCAATTAAATAAATATTATTTTCAATTATTTTCTAATGGTTTTATTCGCTTTGTCATGGTAAGCAGTACCCCGTGTGTTATTCCAGACTATAATCTATCTCTGTGCCGAATTTCATTCGGATCCATTCAGTAATATTTACATGAAATTGCAAAAAACATATATGGATCCTATAAAATATTAAAAACACAATTGTCCTAAATAAATTATCTAAATTAAAATATTAAATAAGAAATAAATGTATGTAATCTTGTTCAGCATGTAATAAAAAGAAATCCAAATTAATATCATAAGTGTTAAATGCTGCTTAATAATTACAAAAACGTATCAAAAGTACCTACCTACACAGTGGCTCATGATCCATTGTGATCCTTTCAAATCGATAGATCTTTGTTTTCTGAATAAATATTAGTGAAATCCCCCCTCCTTCCTCCCCAATCCCTAAAGCCTTATCCCCAAAAGGCCGGCAACGCACATTTAAATTGTTTACCATCAATGAAACAATGAATTTATTTTTGCAAAAGGACCATAACACAACACTTCTACAAGGCAACATTCAATATTAAAATAAAAAAATCGTTTGCCCTCGTAGCTACCACATGAAAAATATGAGTAAATTATGTATAACAGAAACAAAACAATGAAGTATATAATATAATGTACATTTATTTTAAAGTCTATATAAAACATTATCCATTCATATAACTAGGTTTAAAATAACAATTTCATACAGAGTTGTGAACCAAATAGCATTTACATAACAGAAAGCAGTGAACAAAAATACAATAAAAATATAATGACACGATATTCTTCCATCTTTGGACTGATTTAGCATAGTTCATACATCGCTTTGGTGTAATATGGATGCTTCAATTTTTTCATATTGATCGAATATACTACAGGAAAATGATCACTTCGAATGACTTCTCCCGCCCAGGGTAAGGCGAGAGAGAGTGTCAGACCGTTTCTTTTGCTTTAGGCCGTGGCCGCGGTGCCACATTGAGCTTGCCCCGCTATATAAGCCGGTAAAATATTGAATGTAAACAACGGTCCCGATAGACAGTGAGCCATTGTATAAGAAATAAATAGAGTCCAGTAAGACAGAAATGTGTGTCCCTTTCCCAAATAGTGAGTGCATCCTGTACTGTAACGTAGTACCGCCCCCGCGAGATGGGCGGCCGGCTGGTGCAGTGCACCCTGGTGGCCGGGGAGCCCCCCGCGCACCTGGCCGCGCTCCTGCGCGCGCTCAAACTGCCCCCTGATACCACGCACGCCGCCGTACGCAAGGTCTGCACTCACTATTGCTAATCATTTTATTTCTCTATTACCTAACATTAACTATTCAAATATTCCTTTTCAGATAACTTCAGTGATAGCTACGAGAGCAGCGGACTCGTGTGGAAACTTGCCCAGTCCGCCGGCTGCGGCGAGCTGATTCAATCCCGAATTGCTAAAATACAATCTATACGAAGCATCCAGGATACTGTCCCACGACACGAGGCGGGCAGCCGTTGCGTTGTCATCTCCTCCCCCACTAACCCCAATCCCCAATCCCCAAATCTCCAATCCACTTATCCCTATCACTTGTAACTCTTTTGGTGGTGATTGCTTACCATCAGTCTGCTTAACCTATAAAAGAAACATCATCTTCAATCCACTGTTCGTTACAATCTCCACTTGGGGGGTGGAGATCTCAGTTTAAAAGGTTCAGGTTTATCAGAGATCGCTGCTGGCTCTCTCTCTCTCTGGCAGTCGGTGAGGGTACCCGCGCGAAGAGTTGCGGTGGTGATGTGTGTATTGTAATCTGGCGTCACACGGCTGAATGCTAGTGTAGGGTGTCTGAAATAGATGTAGGCATACAAGTGAGTGCTAGGCCACGTTGTACAGTCGATGTAATTGTTTATTTAATACATAGGACATGCTTTTGTAAGAGTCTAAACGAATATCTTGGTAAACGATCACTTTTCTAGCTTTTATAATCTATCTCTGTGCCAAATTACATTCAGATCAGATTAAGTATGATCGACTGGTCTCCCGGGTCGGTCAAAGTGTTATTGTGACCTCTTTAACCGACTACTTTACAAAAAGGGTAATGTTTTTACGCCAAACGATAATCGTTCAGACTCATAGACTTAGAATTGAATAGTTTATTGTTAAGACATTAAAATATAAGTGGTTTTCAATTAAATAAATATTATTTTCAATTATTTTCTAATGGTTTTATTCGCTTTGTCATGGTAAGCAGTACCCCGTGTGTTATTCCAGACTATAATCTATCTCTGTGCCGAATTTCATTCGGATCCATTCAGTAATATTTACATGAAATTGCAAAAAACATATATGGATCCTATAAAATATTAAAAACACAATTGTCCTAAATAAATTATCTAAATTAAAATATTAAATAAGAAATA